ACCCTAAAATATGCCACTTGAGCTAAAGAAAGTTCCTGTAACTGTAAATCAAATTGTAATACCGTACAATTTATAATAATAGCCGTGAGAGGACGCTCCTGAAATCAAATTGCGTCGTCGTTTGAATATATATGAAGTATACCATCGATAAACTGTAGTATGTCTTTATCATTAAGTGATCGTTTATTTTGCGAACGCGCATTTTAACAGAAACTGATCATCAGGAAATGTGAGTATAATTGCTGAATAATCGATTCTTGACTCCACACCGAAAATAAAGTACTGTGTGTATGTAAAAGTAAGACATATTGGCGCCAGTGCCAGTCCACTTATCTACCGTGGCGTCTCTGTTCTAGTTCTACTTGATAGACGGTCTACCACCAATCCAGTCTGACCATTGGCGATCTTCTAAGTTCTACTACAACTAGTCTACTACATTCAACAACCCTGACCCTAACCCAAACCGGAGACTCCGCCCAAACCCTAACCAATTGACTAGCACGGGAGACCGTCAAGTGAACAGGCGCCGAAAGATTAGAATTTTTACCACACCAGAACATCACAAACCCCAACTATTGATACTACCAGTATCTGTTTGTAAGCTATATTCATGTCTGTGTCTCCTCAGGTAGTGTGACTATGACCATGTTTGCACTTGCTTTGTGTATCTCAGACAGTGTGACCATCTATGTGTACGTTTGTGTGTCTACAGAGGGTCCGGGTGCCATTATCGGAAGAGGACATTCTCCGTGTGGCCCACCGTATGCAGTCAAACAGGCGTGGCCAGATCAGCTACCAGTAAGTTTTGTGGGGGTTTTTAATACATGATACAGTCGACTCCGCTTGTATTGATCTTCGGTTAAGCCATAGTCCAGCTGAGTTAATATTTAAAGTATAGCTAAGAATGAAAAGATTGGGGGGGGGGGTGCAAATTCACGCTTACCAAATTTACCGGTTACCTCGACAGGGAACTGGCGACCACAGTCCGGAACCGGATACGAGAGGACCGACTGATTACCCGGCGTCAGGAGATTATTGAGAAGAAGAAGAAGGAGGAGAGGCGACGTATCTTGCAGTCGGACAAACCGCTGAACGCGCCCTCTAACGTCACGTACCTGCCCACGCTCTACAGCATGTTCGGACAGCGGGAGCGGAGCGGTCATACAACCATCATCTCGCCTACCATCGCGGGAAGCTTCAGTAGGCGGGGCTCCATCTTCACGCCCCTCCCATCTATTCGGGGAGAAGGACGCGATTCGTCGAAGCGGCGGTCACCGATGTCACTGTTGAGGCAGGGGCTTCAAGGAGATTTGTCTTCTTTCCCTGGACGCACTAAGTCCAGGACGGACTCTAGAGGGGGCGTGGCAGTTGGGAAGGAGGCGGGGCAGGATAACCAAGGGGCGGGGTCTTCTTACGTCAATCAGTTACGCCGACAGCAGACTGGCGGGGATGTGTACGGACGTCACAAATACATCTAAATATTCTCATTCTCAGCCAGTGTGCAGGCACAGAAATTTCAATCCAATGTGGCAATGCTTCAGATTGGTCGCACAAGGGGGCTATCCCGAAAAATGCTGTTTTGAGAAAATCGAAGGTAAAGTTTTTGCCCCTTGTTTAGTTTCTCTAAAAGACAAGGAGTTTTCTCTATACAACCAGACAAATACACATTAATTCATTAATGAAACCAAACTTCTCCTATAGGTAGGGCAATGCCCACTTTTGATGTTGATCTAGGTCAAGATTTCTGGAAACCACCGAAATCTGGGTTAGCCCGCTTGTCCTTAAAAGCGACCAATTAAGTGCAACATACCCTGGTTTTTATTCAATTCACTCTGCTTGGCGAGAGAAGACCCGAGGAAGGACAGATAAATTACATGCATGAATATTATCTGAACATGATTTAAGGACCAGTAAAACTTAATAACAAAATTGCTGACTTTATTATATTATTCTTTGGTCCCATGATTTATATTTATATGGTGTTGTTAGTAATTCTTTCATGTGTTAAGACAATTTCTTATAATTTGAATTAGTATCCCTAAAATATCGTAACACCCCCCCCCCCCAAAAAAAAATAAAAATAAAAATAAAAAAATAAGCCCAAACAAAAACAAAAAACAAGCTGCAGAACAATAAAAGAAAAACATACAATTCACCAACCATGATGCAGAAGAAGCCACAAAACACTTTCTGCTGATGTACAGTGGGTAGTCTCCTATTTTTCTGTTTAAAATCACAATGTTAGCATGTGGGCCTATCGGCCTGCTTGGCTTCCTTTCTGCCCCCAAATGTAAGTATAAACTTGAAGCAAGGCAGCACCTGTACTTTTGGGTGTGGCCTAGTAATTAGTTTGAGCAAACACAAGCACATTGTTGACACAATAAAAAGCAATTTAGTGCAGGGAAAAAGCAAGATAGAAACAACAGGGGAAAAGAAGGGAGTAGGTCTAACAAATACAGTGGAATCCTGTTATAACGAGAGGGAGGGGACCGGAGCGAAAAGTCCGTTATACCAGGATTCTCGTTATAAGGAATCCAGTAATAAATTCAATGGAAATAATGAAGTAGGTTTAATCTATGAGTTTGGTGTTCTGTTTATTTCTTTTTGTTATCTCCCCCGATGATGACATTGTTCAACATGACCTCTAGCCTCTAGGTCTTACTTGATCAAAGTCAAATCGGATTTCTTTCTCAAGCGCTAGCAATGTTGACAGTACGGCGTTGGCGATCAGAAAGAATGCGCTCTGGGCTAACTCGCCCGCTGTGTTGTCCCCCACCCCAACACACCCTGTGGTGTGTTTCGTCAGCTTGCGCACGTTACTACACATTCACTCCGTCCATCACAGCATTGTGACCTCTCTATCCCCGCATCGGAGAAGTGAGGGAATGGGTAGTGGTTGGCCTAGATAACCTAGACTAGGCTGGCGTATCACACGATGCGTTCTTCTTGTCTGCGCTTACCACACCCTCCCCACTCATTCGCTCCGGCCTTCATTGTTGGCAAACGTGGGCTCTCCTATTCTTTGTTTCGCTCAAGGTGTTGATGTAAGGTCCTAGGTTTCGCTAGATCACCAACAAGTTTCTCAACTGGCGAGGTTTATATGTATAACTGGCCTGTGCGCTGTGCACAGCAGCAGCAATATTCCGCTATAACCGACTCCTGTGTGTGTCAGATTGCGCTATAGCAGTATTTTATTTACAAAGATAAAGAAGGGAAAAAACGGGGTTTTAGAATAGTCTTTATAACAGACGTCTCGTTGTTTCAGGACTCGTTATAAGTGGACTCCACTGTACAGTAGTACCCTCCTAAGCACTCTTTGTTTTTGTAAAGTGTTTTACGGCGCTCGCAACTGCATAAGGTCATATGAATATGAGCGCAAGGGACACACCTATTAATATTATTTTCAGTTGGCAGGAAATTTTGAATTTTGCCCGGGTGGCGGCCGAAGCCTACTCTTATCGATTTTAGACCACCAAGGGATCTTTAACGTGTGCAACTTGCACACGGGCCCTCCGAGATTTTTTCGCCCTTGTCCGAGAAGGCTAGGCGTAGATCTTTCCTACCAGAAGATCAGGGGTGTGGCTGAAAGACAGCAGTAAGAAGTGAAGAAGTAGCAGTAGGAAGGCTGCAGAAAGAATCAGGAGCCCAGAGGAAGGGGCAAAGGAGATGAGGGGGTGGGGGCAGAAGGAGGAGACGAAAGCAGAACATTGCTAGAGAGCAGGAAATGAGGTGATTGTGAAAGGAGACAAATTTAGAGAAGAAAATTTTTCTGTCGCTACCCGGATTCGAACCTGGGACCTTCTGAATGAGAGGCCAACACCTTAACCTCTACGCCACGAGAGCCCCCCTCAGCACTCTACAGCGTACAGGTTTACCTTAAAAAGAGAGAAAAAAGTGAATACCGGGTGAACAACACGTGCAAAATATAATTGTAGTTGAAGTAGATGTTTAAAGGCGAGTTGCCACATTTCACCACGGACACAATTGGGATTTTTTGACGGTGTAATTTTAGAAAAAAAAGCGTTACAGCACTTGCAACACAAAGAGGTCATCTAAGTGTCAAATATTAGTGATGCTGCTTGAGCGTAACATATGAAAGAAAAGAAGAGAAATGGGGATGATAGGTATTTGATAGCATAAGAAAGAAGGAGCAAACTACACCTAAGCTCCCGCTCATTATCTATGCACAGACATTGAAATGTACTTATGTGTAAATTGATTTGTAGTAGAAGAAAGAGCTGTGAACGTTGCAGCACTCATCAACCATTTGGGAAGAGGAAAGAAGAGTGCAGCTTATTAAAATTTTTAAAAATTTATTTAAAGGAGAAAAGTAAATATGTTCTTTGGAGTGAATTTTCATTTTTTGAATGTGTTTTTTATGACATCAAAACAATTTATTTAGATCATTTAAATTTTAGGAGGTGGGCTTCCGACCTTGCCTGTCGTCAGGACCAGCCTAGGCTGAGAGGGATACAACACTCCAGGAGGACCAAGATACTTAATACCTCTCCCCACTTGAGTCCCCTGTGTGCAACAGTGAAGTCCCTGACCTCTACACCACAGATGCCAGAGGCAAATTTTCATGCTCAAATTCTCAAAGTACAGAGAGATGTAGCATGGAACTCCTCATGCATTTTTCACAGATCTGAGATCCTCTCATGAGCACTGTTAGAATATATGAGTGTTTTGGTTCCATGACAACTTGTTGAGTGCCCTCTTTTCATACTAGTATTACTAGGTTCGTCGAGACTCAGCTCAACCTTTTATTGGTAAACGTTCCTAGGTAGGTCTTTGCTTGGAAACGCAGCACTCTGACAACCCATCTGTGGCTTCTGTGAGCAGACAAGCATGAAAACAGAACTAGTCTCTTTACAAAAAGTCTAAGCAAAAGGAAGAACACCTTTCTCAATCCTGACTAAAACCCCTTCCCCTATGTTCCAACTCGATCCTGAAAAAAGACAAGACATGAACAGCCCAATCAAAATACAGTAGAACCTGCCCAAGAAGCTAACCCATTGTTGAGGAGAAAAGTAATCATCTTAGATAGGCGGTTCCCTTGGACAGTGTTGTTAAAAAAAAATTTCAAATGCCGAGGGGGAAATAAGAAGTGGGAAGTGGTCATTCATACAATACAAGTAATTGCCTTGGACTGGTAGTTGCTTGAGAAAATTTGACAGCACTTACAATCATTTTTATCTAGAAGAAAGGTCCTGTCCAATTTGAAATCCCATTTTCAGAGAGGAATCATGAAAACTGCTAAAACAACCCACATTCAATGACAGCACAGAAGGATCATTTCTAAACAATGTTCACTTGCATCCCATGCCAACCAATCTTGACACCACAAAACAGCTCTTGTAACAAAGACCATTGTCTAAAAACTAAAAAGAACTGCACACACCATGGGAATTTTAAATCTGTAAAACTGAACTTTTATTTAATTTACATCAAATGTACAACCTGTATGAGACGGAGATGTCGTCACTTTGTGTTGGCTGTCTTGTGACTTGCTCAAAGCTCAAGATTTAAATGAACACATCCATCCACACATATTATACACATTGTCACCGTTGCAAGAAAAAAAGCAAACTATCCCCTACTTTGCAGGGCGAGTAAAAAATATTTTCAAGTCGCTCACTTTTTCTTGAAACAGTGAAGCTGCATGAACAACTGAGTTCCTCAATGGCCATTATGGGAGGATCTCATAACAACACATACACATAATCAGGAAGGGTTTACAAATCAAAAAACATCATTGTGGGCACCCTTTATTCTCTGACTGAAACCAAAGAGAAAAGAAAACAAAAAACAACAACAGAGGGAAAGGATAGAAATAGCAGAACCTGCCAGTAGTGTCCACCTGATGCAGAGAAGATTGAAGATAAAGATGAACAAGATGATTAAGGCTATGATATCGAAAAGGAAATAGGAGCAAAAGAAGAAACAGAAGAACGAAAAGAGCTTGAACAGCATTGGCAATCACAACAACACAAAAAGTAATTCCCACAGACTCCGCCGAGGTAGATGAAAAAGCTGGTCTGGAGGAGGATGAATAAATGATGACTCAGTCCTTAGCATCTCCAATACCATCGGCGTTAATGGCAAACATAGCCTCAGCCTCAGGCAGACACGGAGAGTCATAAATCTTGCAGATCCTCGTTTCACCTCGCCCTTTCCGCAAGTACAACCTGAGGGGGAGAAGGAGAAAGTTGCAATTGAGTGCAAGTTCCACAGAGGGTCAGAACAACAGGGGTTAGTTGTTTTAACCAAACATTTTACGGCACCTGCAACACAACCAAGTCATATAAGTGTTGAATATTAGAGGTCTCACAATAGAGTAGCAAACGCAAACAAGAGGAGAGGTGAGGTGAGGATGATGTTTTTAGAGGAAAGGAGCAAACCACATCAGAGCACCCACCAACCACCCACAAACAGTGACAATTAGCAGCATGCATTTAATCCAGTGAAAGAAAAAACCCAGGACTTTTGTCTTTTGTCTGCTTGTCTAAGTAAAGAAAAGTACAATAACAATCATTTAGTACTAAGAAAAAGCTGACAGAGAGATACAACAGAGGGTGAGTTTACAGGTTGCTTGATCCACAGCTGCTTTTATTATCCCCTTATCTTTCTAAAAAATTTCACAGAGAGCTTGAAGTACTGCCATGTACACCACAAGATCCGCTCTTATTTTTCTCCCCCTTTCCGACTTCATACTCAACAATTTGGTTCCAAACAACAGTCATTTTCTTCTCTTTGCTGCCTTACCCTATGTGTCCCAGACCAGGTTTAGTTTTCGTATGAGTTTTACGACACTTGCAACACAATAAGGTCATATAAGTGCCGAAGAATAGATGTGTTACAAGATAGTTTAGTTTTAGTAGAGGTTTTACGGCACTCGCAACTGCATAAGGTCATATGAGCGCCAAGGGGTGGATGTCAACAGAAAAGTCCATACACGGAATCAGACTTACTCTGCTCACCTCTCTAGCTTCAACAGGCACCCCGGAAATAGTGGGTCACAAGAGTGTGACAAACATTCAAAGGATGTACAGGAAAAATGACAATAGTAAGGATTAAGAAAGAAAAAGCAGCAGCTCCCTGTTGTAGATCAGGCACAGTTATGAGCGTGACATTGATGAATCAGCACATCTACAATTCTACTGTGCATGAACGAGAAATGTCCCCCCTTTGGGAATGGCCTAAAGACACTTCAGTCAGTGGCACCGCCTCGGGGGGTGTGATACAAGAGAGTAACATACACAAAAAAGAAGGAGGAAAGATCTGGACGATAGATGTTTGATAGGAAAGAAGGAGCAAACCACATCAGAGCACCCGCCAACTACACACCCAGGTTTTGACTGACGGTGAAAACTAAACTACCATAGAGCTGCAGTATACAACAGACAGCTGAAACACACATTGCGTAAAAAAGCACATTTCACTCAAGTACATTGTAGCACTAGTTTTTAACTAGACCTAAGGTAAGATAAGATACATCTTTATTGTCCAGATCCAGGCACATTGGTTTGGTGTTTCACCACGTATACACACACACATAAACATGCACACACATAAACATGCACACACACACCCATACACACTCTCTAACATCATCCTCTTTTTCACAAACATCTGTACACATAACCTACCAGTTGTTTGATTTCAGACCTGCCTGCAGCTCATTATGTAGATCTGTCTGACTGTTTTGACCGCACCCCGGCTGACAATTCATGCCCAACATGTTTAACCCTATCTGTATGTCGTGTTTTACTATCGTATCCATACGACATGGGATGCTCTGAGCAACCACTTTCCAAAGAGGAAATTTACTCATTAATCCAATCCGTACGCTTTGCATAGCAGTCTGTCAATTATTTTTTGAGAAATACTGAAACTTTCAAAGAGATCTTCGAAATAGAAGTAATCTAAAAGGTGAAGAATACAACCCATACGGTACAAAATGACCCCAGGCGTACAGATAGGGTTAAACAACTTTACTGTATTAAGTATGAAATAGTGCTTAATTCACAGTGCAACCAAAATAACCCAGGTTTTCCAAGTAATATAGCCTAATCCACAGAACCCCAATTTCTAAAGGCAGGCAAAAAAATCATCTCAAATCCACTTAATTCAAGTTGGCGAGGCATCCTAAGTGAAGTTTCCAGAGAAAAAGTTTAAAAAAATATTTTTCACTTGGCGATTTGTAGCAAAATGTGAAGAAAAGGGTGTTACTATGATTAAATCGAGTTGACTGCATGTGACACAGACAATAGGTCGTGGTGCATCCACTCACCTGGTAGTAGAAGCATGGGCTATGATGTTCCCTCCAATGGGTTTCTTGGGGTCTGCAGTAAACATGGACGCACCATCTACCTGTGCCACAACCTGGTTGGAAATCACGACCGCCACTCCAAACTGAGAACAAATTCAGAAGGCTAATATGTCAACCAACGTCTTTATTTTCTTTCTCTTACATAAATAATATTTTACATGAGGCGCCACTCGTCAAATGTCAGGTGGTGAGGCTGCCAAACATATAACTTTACAGTCACAGGTTCAAATTCCAGACTGGGTCTATTTTTATGTCCATGGGAAAAGGCACATTTGCTAAATTTTCCTCATCTCATCCAGGTGTAAATGGGAGGAAGAAAATGCAAAAAGGTTAGTGTTTCAGAGACTGTAAAATGACAGTTGGCACTAAATGTTTCCCAGGAAGCAGAGAATGTTTCAGAATCTTATATGGTCTGCCAAGATAATGATAAATTGTAAAGCACAAAGAGCACACTTTCTAGAAGGGAATAGGCTACCCTCTTTAAATGCTATTTACAGTATAACACGGATAGCTCAAATTCGTCGGGAGCAGCCTCGGCAGCTTGAGGGGTCTGTAGTTCGAGGGATATCTTACAAAGATAAAGAAAAGAAAACAAAAACAAAAACAAGACGGCAAGCACAGTTCGGCGGATGCGTGATTTTGAGTGTCATACTGTATATTACCATTACAAACATACACACACACAATTGTGACAAACTAATCATACACAGCACATACCACAATACATTAAGAGAAGAAAATACTAAAAAAAGGCATGACCACATTCATATATGAGACATTTACTGCATGTCTCTCTCAGTTTACTTTTACCTACACAATTTAGATAAAAATAGAATGGGGGCTCTCGTGGCCTAGAGGTTAAAGTGTTGGCCTCTCATTCAAAGGTCCCGGGTTCGATTCCGGGTAGCGACCAAAAAATTTTCTTCTCTAAAAATGTCTCCTTTCACATCCTTTCCTGATCTCTAACAATGTTCTGTTGTCTGCTTTCATTTCCACTTTCTGCCCCCACCCCCTCACCTCCTTTGCCCCCTCCTCTGGGCTCCTGACTCTTTCTGCAGCCTTTCTACTGCTACTCCTTGGCTCCTCCTAACTGCTGTCTTTCTGCCACACCCCTGATCTTCTGGTAGGAAAGATCTACACCTAGCCTTCTCAGACAAGGGCGAAAAATCTCGGAGGGCCCGTGTGCAAGTTGCGCACGTTAAAGATCCCTTGGTGGTCTAAAATCGATAAGAGTAGGCTTCGGCCGCCACCCGGGCAAAATTCAAAATTTCCTACCAACGAAAAAGTATTAGGTGTGTCCCGCGCGCTCATATGACCTTATGCAGTTGCGAGCGCCGTAAAACCCTATACTAAACAAACAAACAAACATAAAAATAGAATAATTTTATGAGTCACAATCAGAGAAAAGGAAAGTCTCATATGCAAAATTTTCAAGAAATACACCTACACCAGTCACCTTATTACTATACTTTCAGCGTCTAAAGACGAGATAGCCCGGAAGGTAGGGTGCCATCTATCTCTATTTAAGAAACCTAACGCAACGTTCTCACCACATGTGATGATGACAGTGCTAAATTACACATGGTGATCCTTGCAAACAATCTTTGCTACAAATCAACCTGTTCATGGTGTGAAAAAGAAATTTAAATGGATTTAAAAAAAAATATTTTTAAAATTCAACTTCTACGTACCTCATCCGCAAGTCTCAACAGCATACGCAGGAACCTGGCCAGATGCATCTGCCGCGCAGATAACTCTCCGCGACCAGCGTAATCCGTCCTGTATAGAGCTGTTGCGCTGTCCACTATCAGCAAAGCATACCTGTAATAAGAAGTAACAGTATGGGGTATAGGTTGGGCATACACTTATAAGGCTTCATATATTCCTACTATCCACAAAAGTCATTGTAGCTGTAGCCATTGAGTGCAAGTCTATTACAAGTCAGCATGAGAACTGCTACATACATATATAATAATGTAGTCTAGCATGCACATGGAGAAATTGGTGGGGCACAGATATCTTTTCGTTATGTGCAAATTTTGCTATAAACATGTTTTAAACACAAAGAATATAAAGTTGACAAAAAAAATTGGGGACCTGAAAATATGTTTATGTACATGCTGGACTGTATATTATGAAGACAAATACGGACATATTATTGCTGAAATTACTGTTTGTTATAAACGTTAAGATATGGTAGATGATTGATTACTGTATAAGAACTAACCTATCATTAAGATCCCCTCCTCCCCCCCCCAACACACAGTGAGTACGAAACCCCCCCCCCACCCCCCAACACACAGTAAGTACGAACCCCCCACCCCCTCCCCGGGAGAATACATACCTTGACTCTGCCATCATTGCTGCTGCTTGAATCAGAAGCTGGCTCTGGTGGTCACTGTTGTAGGCTCTGGCATATGCCACATTGTCCAATACATCACTGCCAGAAAGGCCATACCTAGACACAGAAAGAAAAACTGACTGCAAACATTGAGGATCAGAGCTCCTCACCAAGGAGCTATCAAGCCCCTCACCACCTCAGTGGGCCCAGAACTTATTTTTCAGGATCACCATTCACACCCATTCTCATGTAGTTTTATTTGAGAACTTGGCTTTGAAAAACAAAAAGTCAATGAAGCAAAAAAGGATCTTATTTACATTTAGATTGAAAACCTCTCTATCTAAACTGATATAATTGAAGAACAAGAGCTAGTGACATATAAAAAACAAACAGACAAGAGGTCTACCATTTGTTATGCTTTAGTAAGTCTTTTACGGCACTTGCAACACAATAAGGTCACATAAATGCCAAAGATTAAAGGTGTTACAACAGAGTAATAAACACAAAAGAAGGACCACACCAGACAACCACCAACCACCCATTACCATTTGTTAACTCATTTGCTACGTATTATTTTCGGCTAGTGGACGAATTTTTTGCGGGAGGGCGAGATGAGAAGATGACTAGTGCGCAGTTCACAGGTCTTGGGGGGCCATAAATTCAAATAAATATCAACATATTATATACCAACATTTTCAGTATGGTTTGTAGAATACATCTGTATTGTTTATTTGAGTATTTTTCAACTTTGGTTCCTGTAAGAGGCGATTATGCAACACAATTGTGATTGGCTGCGGATAAAATTTGAAAACAAAAAATTTATAATCTCAGATGAAACTCAAAAAATATGTTTGCACCTAGTCAAATTATACATCAAAATAACCATAACTGAAAATAGAACAGGAAAATAGTGAAAAATGAGCAGTTATTTACATACATTCCATAATATTTGTACATTTAGATCATAACCTCCGATATTGAAAAAAAAATTTTTTTACAATGATTTTGAAAAAAGATCCCAAAACGGAAAAAAACACTCGTATCTTATATGGAATTATTCAGAATTGCATTTGGAACAAACCTCTATACATGTCTTGGGTGGTACTTTTTGAGTAAATTCTCCAAAAAGTAGTGATTTTGGGGAGTAAAAAAATATTTCGACTATTTAGATCAAGGCCTAAATCTAGCGCTCAAAAATATTGATTTCTCAATTACAGTGCACTGGAAATTTGAGTCCAGTAGTATCAATATTATAAAGAAGAGTCCTACACTTCTTTAGTGAGCAAAATAATGATACATTTTGTTGTGTTAAGTACTAAGACTGGTGTCTGGGCTATAATTTGGGCTTCGCAATAAAACAATGTCGCATAAACTTAGAAATCGTGTTTCAAAACTGAATCAAAACTTCCGATTTTCGGTGGAAACGCTTGACCCGGAAGTCAACTTTATATTATGACCTTTATTTTAACATGGATATGTGGATTGGAATAGAAACCAAACTAAAATTGAACGTCGGTTCTCGAGCCGCCGGGGGCGGCTTAGCGTACTGATGGCACTTTAGCAGCGCCGCCCCCCACGGCTCAGCGTAGCGAATGAGTTAAGTTAGTTACTTACAGACAATGTCCAACAATAGAAAAAGGCACGTTACATGAAGTTAACATTTCTCTTGTATTTGTAATACAACTTGCCCCCCCCCCCCCCAAAAAAAAAATTTAAAAAATAAAAACAAAATAAACCGAAACATTAAAAAAAATCTTTCACAGCCACAGTCCGAGCTTTGACAGTAAGAACATACCTATCTGCAACAGCCAACAGTCGCTCCGGTCGGAAGGTACCCTCAGTGTCGATGTACATAGCTTTCCCCTCTCCTCCTCCCATGTCGATAGGAAGCTGAGGAAAGAAATATGTACTGAAAATAGTACTGCCTTATGACTGTTTTTCCATGCACATGGCTTGGGACCTACTCCATTTAAGTCTTCTTCTTTATCTCTCAGTGGACACCCCAGTCTCTAGTGTGAAGGCAGCTGTTCGCCACAGTTCCACAAAGACCCTCTCTGCCTTGGGAGGGTTGGGCCAGTATTTCCTTTTAAGTACCTCGAACATTGGGCAGGCTTGTAACAGAGTTAATCTGAACAACACTCCACATAACCCAAATTTATGCCATTTCCAAAGCCTAGAGATTGACCCAAACCCTGCTTAAAGTAAAAAATAAGTTGACCTATTAGTTGGAGCAAAGAAAAAGTAGGCAGAGGTTAAGATAGATAGGCGATACAGCCGGACACAAAAAAATCTACAAGTACATCCGAGCTTGTGAAGAGTTCATGCTTTTTATACCATTTTTCATAAAGTGCAGTTTGAGCTCAGACGGAGAAAAAAAACCATCACAAATTTCACCAAAAAACCTCAGGTTGCAAAAGATACAGTCTTTACTTCTTTAACTACAAATCAGAAGAAAAAAACTGAACACATCTTGCTGAATGACATCCAAGCAGCAGATACAATACTTCAATGAAAACAAAAAAAATTCAATAAAGCTCTGAGCAAAGAAAAAAATCATGTCAACCATGAACAGTCTGCTGCCATACCCATCTATCTCAATCTGTATACACAGCGTATAAAAAGATCTTAATAAAACCATGTTATGTTTGAAGGAAAGATGTGGGGCAAGAGAGCCAGAAGAAAACAAAGAATAACGTGGATGGACAACATAAGAACATGGACTGGCCTGGAATGGCAGAATGTGCAACAGAAGCTCACGACCGTGAAGGATGGAGAAACTGTTGCACTGTATAGGTCGGGCGTACACTTATAACTTATTATAAGGCTTCATAAATTCCTACTTCCCACAAGGTCAGAAATGGCGCTCATGACCTTATGCAGTTGCGAGCGCCATAAAACCCTCTACTATAAAAAAAAATTTTTTTTAAAAAGGTCACAAAGTCAAGTTACTGTAGCTGTAGCCACTGAATGCCAGTCTACCTCTGAGTCAAAGATGACACCTCCAGGTATCCAGGTTGTGCTGTCACACCAGTTTCTAATGTCAAAATGTACTCAAACGCTTACCTGACACGTGACAGCCAAAGTGTGACACAACTGTGTTTTGCCGGTGCGGAACTCCCCAAAAATCTCTGTGATAGATCCAGTTTCAATTCCACCTAGAAATGAGAGACCGGGTACTTCACAAAACTGCACAACACTAAGGACCAATCTTTCACAAGCTTTGAGCCCCACCTACAAAAATGCAGTTGAAACGGCGCTAATGACATCGTATGCCACCTATCATCTAAGAAATTATAAATATTTTGACACTTCATATCCTGCATAGTACATTTTAGCAAGTGAACATCTGATGAGGAAATGTAAAAAAAATTATATAATTTAAAAATGGGGCTTTCAAAAGTGGACAAACAGACTAGCAGTGAAGAGATGTTTAGCATAACTGAAACATGATATTCTTTAAATGGGAGGGAATAACAACATTGACTGACCCAAACTTAAAATAAAAATTAACAATTTATGGCATCATGAACTGCGTACCTTGCAGTAATTTGTCCAGTTCCTTTGATCCAGTTGTGACTTGGATGATCTCTGATCTTTTCTGATGAAACTCTGTGGCCGTAGTGAAACCCATAGGGACCAGTTTAGCAGCCTCAGCCTAAAATAGGATCACAAGATGAGAGTAAGGGCGAGCACATCATCTTAACAACAGTCATTTCGTGCTTGGAAAAAGAAAGACAAAAATACAAAGAAGAGAAACAAAAAGTTAAAAAATAAAGATTGGACCGGCAATTGGGGAGCTCTCTAATCACCTGCAAGATCACAAGGTTAGGTATGGAGTACTGAGGAAAACCCAAAAAAACTTGGGAACCAAAAATACTACGTCATTTGTTATTATAATACAAGTAGTAAGAAAAGTTTACTATTTATCTGAAGTGCTTGACAAGAAGAAAAATTTGTATGTATAATTATTCAACAAATCCTATCCAGTTTTCTCGACAGGACATTGTCACATATCTGAATCATCTGTTCAAAAATTCATATCATTACATCATTTCCTTAAAAACAAAACCAATTTTCTGTCCTAAGAAAAAAATTTGTCATAATTATTTTATATGTCATAAACAATATTTTCCTTATATTTTACTCAGTAATAATAAATACTATCAACACTTATTATCTAATTTTTAAAATCCTCTTATATATTAATATATATGCTTTAACTATGAGACTGCATTCCAACTTCATGACAGCAATAATTACCACGCTGTGAAAGCAAAACCAAAAAAAATACTTTACCACAATTTTGTCTGCCTTGACCTCACTGATGCCTTTGATTGACAGCAACATTTTCTTCGGAGCAAAAGCCACAGACTCGACAGTAAAAAACCCTGCCTCCTCCAGCTTTTTCACATCACCAGCACTGATGCCATTACCCTGCAGGGGCAGAAATCAGTTGAAAAAAAAAAAGAAAATAAATGGCCCAGATTGCACTTATTTGTGCTTGTAGAATGAGTCTATCGATACAACATAACATCAAATATTAATCAATAAAAGAGAATTAAGAGGTGGGTTGTGTTTAACCTTCCTGTTGGGCAAGATGGTAAACAGTCTTGCATGCACACATAAAGAACATGCACATAGGAGACACAAGCACAGCAAACAAAACAGGTCCTGAACATTTTTTTATACAGTGGGTGTCGCATTCAACGAGGTCACATTCAACGAGAAGTCGGCTCCAACGAGGCAATTCTTAATCCCCGATTTTTGCCTCTATATCTCTTTGTAAATGTACGTCAGCTCAAACGAGGTTGCAAATAGACCGAAGTCACTTTCAAATGAGATTACGATAACCAATTAAAGCAATAAGCGGCCCCAAAAGCGAAGAATTGTTCTCCTTTCTCTCCATCTCTCTGGATGGATAGCCTCTAGATCTAGGTCTAGACCGAGACCCTCATATTTTTTTCAATTTTCCTTTTTTTTTCTGATCAGAAAAACTAAGCCTTTACTTTATGTAGATCCTAGCCTCGATGTGAGAGTGTATGTTTCCACACGAGAAGTGTTTCGGAGAAAAAAATTATTTTTAAATGCAGAAATGACGGTCAGAACACAGCTCAAATGCGCACACTGATGCTGTTTGAGATTCTCATCAGGGGGAAAAACTGTTTTAATTAGGCCTACTGGTATTGGTACATCCTATAATATAATAACTTGTCTCCTTTCTTGTTGTCACGTTCAACGAGAGGTCGGATCAAACGAGGACAACAAGCCGGGCCCGGCAACCTCGTTGAATGCGACACCCACTGTATATCTTTGTATTTAAAGCAAGTACACATATACACATTGTGTCCCTCCCATTTTGCTATGAGCTATCTAGACAGTAATTTACATGAAGCCATTCGTATTACTATTCTGTGCTCTCCCTTGAGGTGCACAAGACTAGTGTGAAACATTTTGGCATTCAGTTACATCATAAAATCTAAATCTGTAGCAAAATGTGCGGACGTAGAAGAGAGAGATAATAAAATCTAAGTCTTACCTCAAGCTTAGCAAGAGGCATCGGCCCAAAAGTTTCATCCTCAGTTGATGTAATTTCTTCTCCCCCTTCCTCTCTCGCTTGCATTGCAGACGCCATTGTTCTTTGCAACCTGTTCAGAATGAGAGAAAAAAACATATGCCAAAGACAAGGTTCCAAAACATGAACTATTGAACATCACTGTACACGGCAGAGTCACTGCTACGATCCTGACTAAACAGGAAGACATTGGCATGAGGGAGATAAGCACAGATGAGCTTCTTGGGCATAGGATTTGTGGACATTGAACATGTGGTGAATGGTGAACTTGCCGGTGTTGAACATATAGACGCTGGGCCTGTTGGTGTTGAACATATAGACCCTGGGCCTGTTGGTGTTGAACATATAGACGCTGGGCCTGTTGGTGTTGAACATATAGACCCTGGGCCTGTTGGTGTTGAACATATAGACGCTGGGCCTGTTGGTGTTGAACATGTGGTGGAAACTAGGCATTCAGATTTTGGCACAGACGGAGATATATATAGACGGAATACATGGTGCTTTTGGACTTTTGCTCTGTCATTTACTTAGCTATAAGTATAAGGTTTTAGAAAATTAGGTACTATGCATTAATAGTATTTTTTTAATGAATTATAATGCCCAGGCATAATTTTGTTGGTTGGTCCCAGTTCTGGTCTAAAACTAAAAGCACTACTGTACTCGTAAACTAGCGTAGGCCTTCTATCCCAATAATTATACAGTCTTCCCAAAAAGTTAAGGACCAGCCAGGATAATGGGTAGTATTTTCAAAAAATCATTTTTTTTTAAAGTAATTTGGTCCAAAGCACGTCTATTAGACACAATCAGAATGAGATATTTTAAAAACTTAATTTGCGACAGAAATGAAGTTGATAAATATTCGTGTTCAATGCATCAATATTTAGTTGAAAACGGACAACTGGTAGCTAAGTGTGAGACCGGGAGAGAAAGTTAAAAAATGGCCAGCTCTATTCGGACTCGAGTCAGAATTATAGACACTTGTGACAGAAGCGTTGCTCGTTCTCCGAGTGGTGGCGACCCATGTGTTTGTTTTAACATGGCACTCGGTCTTCCTCGTCTGATACATTTCGTTTTATTGTCACCCTTGAGCAAAATCAGCAACAAAATAAAAATTACAAACAAAATACAAACCACCACCACCACCACCAATAACAAAAACAACAACAATGCAGCTACTTTCGATTGGGACCTCAGATGGGAATGGTTTGTTTTTCTTCATGATCTTGATCAGTCCTGCCTAAGCCGGCCACCTGTCTTATACGGCCACTTTTCTCCTTGACAATGGGTGGCCGTCTTATGTATATACAGGTTTGACTGTACCTGCCTTAGAGTCGGCCCTTCACGCTGTGGACCGGGGTGAGAAAAGCGAGACATGGGTTATTCTCACCCGGGTTGAGAATAGCGAGACAGGTGTGGGTGAGAATATTTAAATTTAGGCCACCTCTATTCTCACCCCGGGTGAGAATAGCGCAGGCGAGCCTTTTGGCTATTCTCACCCGGTGTGCGTTCACCGTTATAGCCTAGACCAACTAGTGCAGCGTTCACCCTGAACCACAGAATTCTACACTGTGATAACAGAACTGTAGAATTCTGTGCGGTGAACAAACGTTCCAGGCCTCTTGTGTTACTACTGTTAGCCTAAAACTAAAAGTAAAAGCGTGCAATTTTGTCAGTGGGCAGTGGAGAGAGAGAGAGAGACAGAGAGAGAGAAAAGAGAAGAGAGAGAGAGAGAGAGAGAGAGAGAGAGAGAGAGAGAGAGAGAGAGAGAGAGAGAGACGAGTAGCGCGAGAACTTCCGGGCAAAACAAAATGGCGACCCACGTAGTTCGGCTCGATTCGAAAAGTTAAATAGCCGTAGATCTTTGTAGACGACCAAATTAATTTACTTTTATGTTTTAACATCATTTTTAAAAACTTTGTTTTGGTCAATTTGATCATCCACACCGATAGACAATATTCAGAAAGAGACAGTGAGAGAGAGGGGGGGGGGGGGGGAGGAGTAGATCTTGCGAGAACTTCCGGGCAAAACAAAATGGCGACCCCCGCAGTTCGGCTTGATTCAAAAAGTGAAATAGCCATGGCATCTTTCTAGATCTAGATAGATTTAGATCTAGATCAAGATTTAGATCTAGATCTTCATTAGACGATCAAATTAGCTTACTTATTATCTTTGTGCTATAATAACGTCATTTTTTCCTTGCTTTTTTGTCAATTTGATCATCCACACCGATGACAGTTGGACTCGAGTCCGAATAACATTTTTTCATATTCGGACTCGAGTCCAAATAAAAAAATTTCTTATTCAGACTCGAGTCCGAATATGAAAAAATGTTATTCAGACTCGGGTCCGGAAAAAAGGAAGGGTCTTCGTATAGATCTAACGTTCAGTGCTTCCAATTTTCCGCCATTTTTTAGTTTCCCCCACACCTTTTCTGCCGATCCGATGCCCGCTGCCTCATTGATACCCCCTCCCCCCCCCAACGTTTCCCACTTTTTTTGTTGTAGAAAAAGGTAAAATTGAAGATTAGCAGACCACTTGGCACCTGCATATTATGAGCTGTGTAAAAAAAAAAAAGACCGATTCGTTCAAATACACAAGCCTGTATCATATCGATTGTTTACCAAGAAAAAGTTGTGTTGCTGTGTAGAGCTGAGCATACGGCAACTTTTGATTCCATAGACCAGCGCACAATTCATTACGTAGATCTACGTCAAGACTAGCTTATTAATGTAATAATGATCAGCTGCCGGGGGGAAAAAGACTGACGTGTATGCGACGTTCAACGCCCGGACCGATAGTGCCCCGACACGCACACAGCCACACGTGTGCAGGCCGCCCATCCGACCCCGACACACGCTAACGAGCCATCTTTAATTGCTTCTGATGACCTCTTGACAAATAAACATTTATTAGAAGCGCTATAACTTTTCAGGCTGGCCTCAAATTCATCATAAGATTAAAACTCGGCTCCTGCACAAAACGCCTTTATATATATAGATGCCCGAAGTGATCCCGGTCTCTACCCAGCCTGAGGCGAGTCACGAGTGAGGCAGGACAGGAAGCCGGATTCACGAGTCACAGGAAGTCGGAAGTCGGAAGTGATGTCATGCTGGACAAGAATCAGAGTCCGAATAACATTTTTTCATATTCGGACTCGAGTCCGAATAGTCACTTCGATTCCGAAATTAGGAAAAACAGGTCTTGTTTCACATCGGGTGAGAATAGCCAACGCTGGCAAGTCTCACCCGGTGTGAAACAAGACCTGTTTTTCCTCATTTTGGAATACTGTCTATCGGTGTGGATGATCAAAATCAAATTGATAAAAGCGCTATTCTCACCCCGGGTTACTGTTTTATATTCTCACCCGCCCGGAAGTTCTCGCAAGATCAACTCCTCCCCTCTTCTCTCTCTCTCTGTCTCTTTCTGAATACTGTCTATTCGGTGTGGACGATCAAATTGACCAAAACAAAGTTAAAAAATGATGTTAAAACATAAAAGTAAATTAATTTGGTTGTCTACAAAAATGCTACGGCTATTTAACTTTTCGAATCGAGCCGAACTACGCGGGTCGCCATTTTGTTTTGCCCGGAAATTCTCACGCTACTCCTCTCTCTCTTTCTCTCTCTCCACTGCCCACAGACAAAATTGTACGCTTTTAGTAGGCTACAGTTGTAATGGAACGTTTGTTCACGGTACAGAATTCTAAAATTTTTCTGTTATCACAGTGTAGAATTCTGTGGTTTAGGGTGAACGCAAAATTTGGTGAACGCGCACCGGGAGAGAATAGCCACAAGACTCGCCTGCACTATTCTATAGAGGTGGCCATTTCATTACTCTTGTGGCCAAAACCGGAGATTGCCTACTCAGTACCTTTGATTTTGTCACACACTAGTGTTTTGTTTTGGTTTAGACAGCGCCGACCGTTGAAAGTAAGATTGACTCCAGACTCTGTCCAGTACAACAAATTTCCACAACATTGAAGTCCCCGCGTCCGCGTAATAAGCAATCTTCGTTTCCGGATGTTGTATCGCTCTTTTGTCTTTTAGGTATACGTTTGTGACCTCCGTTATCAGGACCGATCACTCCTATTTTAGATCTAGACTACTAGACCTCTAGATTAGAAGAATGCCTTTTGTAAAGTAAACAAACAAGGGCAAGGGCACTCCAAACAGAATCGATCGTCAGAAGTAGGCCTAGCCTACACTTAATCTAGATCTAGATTCTAGATCTACACAGTTCAGACCTCTCATACCTCCCTTTAATTTTGGTAACCATTCCGTTGCTATAATAATTATAGTTAGAATCTCTAGATCTAGTGTTATGTTATAGTTATAGATCTCCATTATAGATCTAGAGGGCTGCTGATTTTTTATCATCTGCCGTCGTTAGGAAGGGATAGCGACGTATTGTCAAAATTTTTCGATTTTTTTATTTGTATATAGATCTAGATCTAGATCTAGATCTAGATATAGATATAGATCTAGAATTTCATAGAGTATTTTAATTTAATTCTGGATCTGATGGTGTAAAAATTTTTGTTATCTAATCCGTTGTTGCGTAATTGAGAGTTTGTCATTTTCCCTTTCACTGGCGAGCTCCGAGCCAGAGCTCAGTGTAAGGGAGTCTACTAATGACGAATGGTCGATTGGCCAAGGATCACTGCTCGTTCGTCGTTGTCCCCTGGTCTCTGCCGTTGGGGAAATTCGGCATGGGCGACGAATGACAATTGGTCACTGTTGCGTCTGTACAAACATATAGAGTTAGGTTTTTTGCAAATAAATTTCTACCACCCCCTCCCCCAGAGTACAATCGACCAGGGTTTAAGAAGGTCTTTCTGTCTGTCTTCATGTATTAGGCAGATATGCTGATGGTGTGAGTTTACAAGAGCAGGCTTGAGAGAGGGGAAAACGAATGGGAACAGGGGAAAAGGGGTGGGGATGGGAGGGTCAAGAAAGTATTTAGGGAGAAATGTATTAGCACTGCATATTAGTGTCTGCCAGATGTTCACAGACTAACGTCATGTTAGTTTGCTGTGTTGCACTGGGGTTGTTTGCCATTATTGTATTTAATAATGCAAAAGTAAAAACTCCGTTTCTAGATGAAGAAGGGTAATTTAATGATGAAAATAATATGAGGTCTGCCCTCTCTGGCTTCACTGACAAAACTAAATAAATCATAATGAGCATGAAAAGTACATGTGATTGAAACAGGAAGGAGGAGTGAGTAAAGATCACTAAGATCAGACAATCTTTGTTGTGAGGGTAGATAAATAAAAGTAGGGCTTACAATTACAGGGACATAATTCAACATGTTAATATAAGGACCAACAATCCAGGATTTATTGTTTCCCTTCTGTATATATGATACAAGCAATCTAATAGTCTAACATGCTGTCCAGTCATTTGACATCCCAAATCCCAACGATGGTTATAGAGCCGCAATTTGTCTAGCACGTGTCACTGGTCGACATCATATAAATAGAATTACCAAGCAATTAATGACACTGCGTTATATAAGAGTAAATTTCTTTGTCCAACTTAAAAAGTGGACCTATTTTGGTGACCCTTAGTCTTGCTTAACAATTTTTTATGACTTGATGGACGTTACGTTGGAGTTATTTGCAGAATCAAACTGTCCTTGTCGATCTCTACTTTGTGGTATGTTTTCTGATCTGATCTACTGAATCCTTTATTACAAATCGTCGCATTACCTCTCCCGAAAGCGTTTGTGATGCAGTCTTGTCAGATTGTTACATTGTATTTTTTATGTGAAAGCTTTACTTTGCAATGATCTGATCGTATTATTGACATTGTAACATTGTTGATCCCTTTGGTCGTGCAGGGAAAATTTTGCAATTAGCGAAAATAAAAGTAAAACTCGCTTCTGAAGAGAATACAATAAAGAGATATAATACCATGGAGACTAAACTTTGGTTCCGAATGAGACAGTGTTAAATCAAGCTGTTGAAAATGTGTTCACATCTGATTTGTACACTGAATGTGTGTAGTATTTAACCAAGCGAGGAAGGGAAACGAAGGACGTTTACCGAGTTGGGATATAACAAACACCTAACTTTATACTTTTATATTAGCTAGTTTTTATACGTCGTATTTTTATTTGTAGTAAACCAGTACCGGTACACAGTTTATTACTGTCAATTATGCGTAGCAACTGACCATCGCCTACGCCCATAAACGTTCACGAGTGTAAAGGAAAAAGACGAACTGTACCATATACGTCGTTTTCTCTTACATCGCAAGGCTTACTTGCGGGTGCGCAATGTAAGGGAGAACGACGAATGTCGAATAACTTTGCTACTTTTTAACCTAAACCATTCAAACTTTAGAAACTGCTTTATGAACACATCAATCAGATATCTTGTGAATTACAGCTTAACACTTACCCTACCACGGGCCGCATAATGCGAAATAAGACACGAAATTCTCGGCAGATCCATGTTTTTAAAATGATAGAATAGACTTCCTGTTAGCAGATACAAAAGAAAATAGCACTGAGAGACGAATTTTAGTCATTTCAGTGCTTTTTTTGTCCCCTTCGAAACGTAAATATGTGGGAAAAAAGCGCTACACTGACTTCAGTATATATGTCTCATATTTTCACTTCTGTATAGGTACATACATGAATTTCAGCATTTATTCGCATTACTTGAGGCAACCTACTTGGGAAGTTTGAATTATGCTGCTGTTGCACTTTTTAAGATATGACCTTTCAAAACTGGAAAATTATTGATTTCTTATGACGCCTTCGATATTGCATAATTACTTTTAGAAACCCCAAAGTAATATAATTGGAATAAATCTTCAATATTGTATCGCCATCTGATAGATTATTTTTTAACCTTCAGTTTGATGGTCCATAAGATATGGTTTGTGTGTGTTTAGTTGGATGTTTTCACATTATCTTTTGGCGGGGTAGAGGCGTAAAAATAGGTCATGGAAAAGCCCTGGGCCAGTGGTGGATTTTGGCCTGGTAGGTAAAGAGTTAAAAGAGTGAAAAATAGAAGAGTTATAAAGTGAAAACAGTTTTTGCCTCTCCTGAAAAATTTGCCTCGCTACCTGCGCAGGATCATTTGTTGTTTTCCCTTACGACGGCAGAACAGTTGTAGGTCTTTGCGATCATAAGAGAAGACACAGTGGTGTCAGTAGTAGATATATATATATCTAGGCCTACATTTCTAGAGATCTAGATCTAGATAGATCTAGATTCTAGATCTAAATCTAGATTTAGATTAGTATTAGATCTAGATCTAGAATCTAACTTCGTAGCCCAAACAGCAATGTCATGTGGCGTCGGGGGCCTAGTGGTTAGGCTCTTGGACTCGCAACCATAAGGTCGTGGGTTTGAATCCCGTAAAGGGCCCGACGTTGTGTCCTTGGGAAAGGCACTTTACACGAATTTTCCTCACTTCACCCAGGTGGGAATGGGTACCCGGCTATAGACAGCGAAAGATCTTGTCAGTTTGTTAGTGTTTGAGCGCTTAATCAGCTGCTTGCACTGTATGCTTCCCGAGAAGCTGAGAATGTTTCGGAGTGTTCTATGGTCTGCTGGGGTAATAATATAGTGTAAAGCGCATGGACAGAGCCTGCTGTTGAGCTGGGATATGCGCTATACAAATGCTATTTATTTATTATTATTATTATTATTAAATTTAGATCTAGATCTAGAAGAGAATCTAGAGTTCTAGAATCTAAATCATAAGATCTATAAACTAGGCCTATCTTTCTAGATCTACAATTATTTTACGCAGTGGCCGTGTTCATGACACTGTGAACGTAGTTTGCAGGGTACGTTAACGGCACCCTGAATGCAGTTTGCAGGCGCTGTTGAGGCTACGTTCACAGCACTCAAGCTTCGTTTAGATGGAGCGTCCACTGCCAGTTTAAATAAGCTGGTTTTAATCAGTGACGTATATATTTTGGCCTGCTTCAAGCGTTCCATCCCATGAGATGTAGAAAAAAGAAGCAGTGATCCTTGACCGATCGACCATTCGTCGTTCTCCCTTACACTGAGCTCTGGCTCAGAGCTTGCCAGTATAAGGGAAAACGACGAACTCTTTATGCAACAACGCATTAGGAATAAAAATGTATACGCCTATCAAGATGTTTCAGTTGCCCTATCTTGCGTCCGGGCGAGACTTGGGCGCGCCCTTTTGTTAGCGCCTGACGGCCCGTGATAAACAAACGTTCCAGCGCTCTCGAGTTGATTGAAAGTGTGCAATTTTGTCAGCAGGCAGTTAGAGGGAGAGTGAGAGAGTTCTGGGGGGGGGGAGAAAAAAGGAGGGAGAGATAGACAGAGACAGAGAAAAATAAAGAGAGAAGGGAGGGAAAGAAAGAGAGAAGGAAAGAGAAAGGGGAGAGAGAGAGAGAGAGAGAGCGGGCGTTTGTTATTAATATAATAAGAATGATTGATTCCCGTCATTTCCTCTCTGCATCCGTTCCCAGGCTGACCCGGTGCAATACAATCATTATTGTACACATTTTATGACCTGTCCTATCGTCAAAATCCCACCTTCTGTTTCCCATCTCTTGCCTCTTGTTCCCCCTTACCGTATCCGATTTTCCATAAATTATCCCATACATCCCGATTTTAATTCTGCAAGGGCGCTTCGTTTTCCTTCATCTCATGGCAGTGGACGCTCCCCCTAAACGAAGCTTTAGTGCCGTGAACGTAGCTTCAAAAGCACCTGCCAACTGCACTCAGGGCGCTGTGATCGTAGCCACTGCGATTATTTTAATTATTAATTTTTTTTTTAAAGAATAAACAAAAAACAAAACCTAAAATCTATAAGCTCAAAAAGTGAGATCAAATCTGTTGTAATTTATATCGTATCGTGCATGCCAATGAATTTGAATTGTCATGTTACCACAGACTGCAAACAAAGGATCGGCTTTTGCGCATGGCATTTAAAAGCATGCCGGCGAAAAAAAATAAACACACTATGAGAGACAAAGGTCGTTGGGAATGTTACATTGGACGAACATCGGCTCTGTTTTCAAAACGGCTTAAAAATTCGAAATAAGACACATTCCTTCAAAATTCTTTTCTTACTGAGCAGTGTAGGAATGGTTCAGCATCAGTTTCCCATACAAGGAAGAAAGCTGAACCCTCCTGTTTGTGACTGTTTGAGGACATTTTTTTCCAGTTCAAAATGGACGAACACATGAAACAATCCTCACAACTAAACAACAGGCCTCAGCGACCTCATACAGGGAAAGTGTGTGTTTTTTGCACACACTATTCCAAAGTCTTGCTCATTGCTAATTCTAATGGAAAGGTGCCTCTTTATACAAGAAACAAACAGTTTTGTTGCTTGGAGACCAAACCCATTACCGGCACCATTTCCTTGTTACTTTTTTCACTCAGAAAAACACCTCTTTTTTAGCTGTAACTGTTTCTCATCAGACAACATGGACTTTTAACAGTTTTTCAAGCTTATTAGTGATTCTTCAACATCATTTCTTTGCACTGATACTGGTACCAAAATAAGTATGCTTGGTGTCTTTTAATGTTTGTAGTTGACATTCAAAATAGACTAGGAACTTAGTAAACAGTTCTGGTGGAATGACCCATTCTAAGATCTAGATCTAGTGAATGTTTTTGTTATTTTATTTTGTTTTTGGTTATGTGTTTTACGGAGCTCGCAACTGCATAAGGTCAAATGAGCGTGCAGGACACATAAACATTTTCAGTTGGTAGGAAATTTTGAATTTTACCTGAGTGGCGATCGAAGCCTACTCTTTTATAGCTTTTGGACCACTAAGGAATCTATCTATCTTTAACGTCTGCAACTTGCAAACGGGACTTCCGAGATTTTTCGCCCTTGTCCGAGAAGGCTAGGTGTAGATCTTTCCTACCACAAGATCAGGGGTGTGGCTGAAAGACAGCAGTAAGAAGGAGCCAAGGAGTAGCAGTAGAAAGGCTTAGACAGAAAGAGTCAGGATCCCAGAGGAGGGACAAAGGAGGTGAGGCGGTGGGGACAGGAAGTGGAGACGAAAGCAGACTACAAAACATTCAACATTGTTAGAGAGCAGTAAAGGATGTGAAATGAGAAAATTTTAGAAAATTACTTTCCCTTTCGTTTCACACTTAACTATTATACATAGATCTGTATACAGTGGAACTCGGATTCAACGAGGTCGCCAGGCCTAACCTAAAATCTCGTTGAATCCGAGTGTTCGTTATAGCAAATATGAAGTTTTATGTAGATAATTAGAGGCACTGAGCAAGTAATGTATTTAAGAGAAGTCACAAGTAATGCCTGAAATGCCTGCATATTATGAGCTGTGTAAAAAAAAAGACCGATTCGTTCTAATGCACACATCTGAGTCATCTCGATTGTTTACCAAAAAGTTGTGTTGCTGTGCAGAGCCTAGCATACGGCAACTTTTGATTCCATAGACCAGCGCACAATTCATTAAGTAGATCTACGTCAAGACTAGCTTATCATTGCAATAGCTATCAGTTGCCGAGGGAAAAAAGACTCTGACGCGTTTGTATCTGCGATGTTCAACGCCCAGACCGCTAGTGCCCCCCCCCTCTCCTGACATGCACACACAGCCACACGTGTGCAGGCTGCCCATCCGACTCCGACACACGCCAGAGTAGACACGTTCGCGTGTCAACAACGCATGTGTTGGTATGGAAAAAGGCCGCTGATTGGTCGCATGCGATCGGCTAAGTGAATAATAGTTCACGATGTAGGTTCAAAGGATGGTTTTCGTGTATAAAGTTCGTTCAGGGAGAAAAATGATCGAAGCCACGTCTGCTGGGGCTGTTCACCCTGGAAGCGACCTCGTTGAATCCGAGCTCGCTGGTTTAAGTGCTCGTTGAATCCGGGTTATTTTTATTGACTTTAAAGAAGAAAAAAAACGGGGAATCCATCTCATCTCGTTGAATCCGAGTTCTCGTTGAATCCGAGCTCCACTGTATTATCTTGTGTCAATTTTCTAAAATGTATTGATACAATGAACACGAATATCGACCTCATTTCAGTCACAAATTAATAGTTTGAAAAATATTTGATGTTTTTTTATGAAACTGCATCACATTATTAGCCTAACTACTAACTGAGTAGTAGTTTCTGCGCTTTAGACCAATCGGGGGGGGGGGGGGGGGGGGGTGAGGGGGGCATGTCCCCCTGAATTGAAAAAAAAATATTTGGGGGTTACTTGTTCTTACCTATATTTTTAGGTTTTGCAGTCAGGTTTGAAATTTTCTTGAAAATGAGTGATTTGTGACAGTTTTAGTAGATGTGTGACCGCATGAATAAGTACTGCAGTTTAACACCCTAAGCAGTGCATCTGTGTACGGGAGTGAAAGTAAAATTTTACCAAAATAAATAGCCTGATTATTTAATCCTTTTTGAGCCATACCGGCCAAAACCGGCCTTCTCGTCATGTTGCCATACCGGCTTTCTCGCTTTAGAGCCGTACCGGCTTTTATCGGCTTGACACACCCGCCTTTAGTGCAGGCTTAGAAATAAGAACATTTCACTCAAATTTAAATGCTGACGTCCTAGGTCTTTATATAATGTGAAATGTCATTGAAATATATGTTGCTTAAAAATCAAATGCAAAAAAGCAATTTCCTTGCTACACCCCTTGAACCTTTTAAAAACACTGGAATAATCGGTCGTTTTTAGGGACAAGTGGGCTAACCCATATTTCGGGGGTTTCAAGAAATCTTAACCTGCACCAAAAATAGGCATTGCCCTACCTAAAGGAGAAGTTTGGTTTCATTGGTGCGTACATATTTGTTTGGTTATAGAGAGAACTCTCCTTGTCTTTTAGATTTTCTCCAAACAGTTTTTTTCGGGATAGCCCCCTTGTGCTTAAAAGCGACCAATTCGGTTCTGGGAAGCCAGCAGCTGGCCACCATTTTGGTCCTGCTATGCTGACCTGTTGACCTTTATATATAATCTATTAATGGTGCTAAGAAGAGGGTTAATTAATAAAAATGGACCACAGCTAAGAGAGTTCATACATGCTGATTCAATTCTCTGTTATACACTCACATATCTCTGATCTTTAGACTTTAGAGTTTGAACGTGGACTAATTTAGTTGCAGAAAAGGAAAGTCGAAGAAAGTGCAGGGCTACTCCGCAAACCATAATTAGCCTGTTTGCTTATGTCAGGTGTTTGTTCAACTTGTTGGTCTTGTTTAAATGTCTTGGCCTCTGAAAAGAACTAGTTAATTACCTGAGCAACTTAATAGAGAAAGTTTCCTTTTGTAAGTGAAGTGATCACCTGTCTTGTGCCTGTGCAGCCTGTACTGTTCATGTGCATTGTCTGAGTAAACTTAATGAACTGACAGAAAATATGACCAGTGTTTTCTGTGACTTGTGAAATCTTAATCTTATGTTACAGTGTCATGACCAGCTCAGCAGAAACAGCTTGAAAAGTTTCACCATGTACAGCCAACAAACTATAGTTTTAACACTGGCATTCGTATTGATATCTGGAGGAACACTCAAGACTGCTGACCATGGCACCGGGAAAGCACCTCAACATATTCATATATCTTATGGGGGTATGTTGTGCTATGATTCTTTTCAATTTCAGTTATCTCTCCTGTAGCCGTAACATTATATTATTTTGAATTTCTTCTCAAACTCTTAGAATACATACAGAAGGTGGCTCCACATTTTCATTTGTACTCAGCCAATTTTATCATCGAATTTTTTAGCACCACAAGCGTTCCATATAACTTGACTGCTCCTATTCCTATTTTACCTATTTGTAGAAAATGTGTACTTTTCTGAGTAGAGATTAAAGCTTCATGCATTTTTATATACCACAGTTTTGATAGTTAAGTTGAATTGCTGAGATATGGATTTTTTGTGTAAATCAAATGAGCAATGCTGTGTTCCTGCTGAACTAGCACACCATATATTTATTTATATTATACAAAGTGGTAATTGCTGGGTCTGAAACCCTACTCATTTATCTGCCCAGTTATTTTGAAAAAATAAAAAAACGTTATTGTGGTCTTTTCCCATGATCTCCCATGTGTTCAAGTTGTCTTAAGTGCATTTTGTACATTTATTCATCTAATACTTGAACTTAGACATTTATCTTCAGCTGTCCATCAGTATTGATGATGACTAAAGCTAAAGCAGCATACGTGATACAATTTTGTCTGAGTGGTAGACATAGAGGAGGCAAATTGCCCAAGAAATTTCCCTCCCTTCAGATCTTGTTTTCTTACAAATACTTCGAAGGAAGACATGGTCAATATATGAATACGTTTGAAGTCAAGGAAGATGTATTATGTAGTGAAGGTTCTCTAGCTGTTTTACAGCCTGTGTGATAGGGATATTTTTTATGGTAGTAACATCGAAGTCTGCTTAATTTTTCGTGTGAGGCCGTGTAATGGCCTTCTGTGATTTTCAATCACGACCTACTTTGGATCTTTAACATGCAGCACAACATGCACACAGACCGTGTGAGATTTTTGGTATTATAATGGTCTCTATCATGACTAGGTACTTGACCTTATCTACCTTAAATTCATTGGTGAGGAGGAAGAAGAGGAAAAGAAGAGGAGGCTTAACATGGTTTGACCAATGGCAAAGAAAGAGATTTAAATTTTTTTGCTTTAAGTTTTTTTTCATATATTTAAAAGTATCATTCATCAAGTGTGAAGAAAATTAAAATCTGGAATTATTTTTAATTGATGGTAGGGCCTAATTATCTTGAAATATGTATGTGTGCAATTAATTAATCTCCTGAAACCTGATGTGTTTTCACTTTCTTGTTTCAGATCTGCCTTCTCAGATGATAATTACATGGAGCACTCCTAACAAAACTGATTTGTCTTCAGTGCATTATGGGAGAGAATTGTTACATTTGGTCAATGTTGAAGAAGGATCTAGCCATATTTTTGTTGATGGTGGCACAGAGAAAAGGTCACAGTACATTCATCGAGTGGATCTTAAAGGTTTAACTGGAAACACCACGTACTGTGAGTCCACAATTTTGTGTTTTCATCTCGTTTTTAATTTTGCATTTTTTTCTCCAAATGGGCTTCTCTTGATCATTTGGTTGTGGAGTAACAATCCAGTTTTAACTAGAGAGGAGGAGATACAGTTAAACCTGCTCTTACGGCTACCTGATTTTATAAAACAATAATCTGCTCAAATGGCCACTTCCCATTTTCCCTTTTGCATTATTTTACCACTATAAGGGCACTGTGTAAAACGACCACCTGTCTAAGATGGCAATTTTTTTCTCCTCAACAAAGGGTGGCCGTCTTAGAAGATCTGTGCAATAAATCATGTTGTTCTTGGTAGTTGAGACCTCAGTGTACTAGTGCTACTCTAGGAATCAATGGATTATGTTGCTAAGGTTGGTTTTTTAAATTATCTGGTTACATTTCCTGGTCTCACCAGAAAAATATCTTACAAAATCCGTTACTCAAATATGATAGTCATATTCAATCAAATGTAGGCCCTACTTGTAAACGGTAAGGACCTTTTATTGTTAGAGAAAAGTAAGAAAGACAGATATTGGCAACAGAAAGAAAGAAAAGAAGAAGGATCTACCTCTGCCATTGCTACCCACCAACTTTGTCCACTTAAATCGAAATCTTTTCCTCAATAAGCCATGTATTTTAAAATAGAAATTTCTCAAACAGGGATAATGGTCGACAGCGTTGAGTAGAGAATTCCATACTTGAGATAATTTTACTTTGTGCAAGTTTTTTTCTCATCTACCTCTTTAAATAACTGCAACCAGCACATTGGCTGTACGTCTCTCTGGGTCGCATTCGATATACATGTGTCTTCGCTTCTCTTTCTTCTGTTTTGCTGTCTTGAAGCGTATAAGGCTTGATGATCTGTATTACCTGAGGGTTGCCAGTGAAGATTTGAACAACGCAACTCCAAGTTCTTTTTGGTTTAGAAGTAGGAACATTTTCACTAATTGATGGTTTTTCTGACAAAGAAAAAAGTAACGGTGATTCTGTTTTTATTCAGTTCACTGCTGTTTTCAAATTAACTGTTCAGTTTAAGTGGACTCTACTGTATAATTAACTGACCCATACTGCGAATGGTATGATAAATTGTCTTGAATCTTTCAAAATCTCGTTTTCTTTATTCTGATGTTCAAAGCCATTACCTTACTGTTTATGCTCCTGAAAAAATATTTTATTTATTCTCGTGTCGTAACATGAAGGTTATTTCAATATTTGGTCTTTCATCTTTCTCCCAACACTATAGACTATAAAGTAAGAAGTGAGGAATCTGAGTCAGGTGCGTTCTACTTCAGGACGATGCCTGAAGGACAGGACTGGAGTCCCCGACTTGCCGTCTTTGGCGACATGGGGGCCACCAATGCCCAGTCTTTGCCAAGGCTAGAACTTGATGCTGCCAAGGGCATGTATGATGCTGTTATTCATGTTGGTGAGATATAATCTTTAACCTGTTATATGAAACTGTAAGAAACTTTTAAAGTCTTTCTTTGATGAGACAAGAAAGAACAGCTCTACAATTTTCCTTTCATAATGTGACTATTATTATTCGTCATATCTTATTTATGACAAAAGCATAATTAAAAACTACTTCGAAATTGATGGATTAGTGAAGAAAGGGCAGTCGTTACATTGTTGGGATTACAAAGGATCAAATGGACAACTTATGTACTTTTTGCTTTCTCCAAGATGAACATGTGCTAACGTTTATGTACAGACAGCAAAACAATACCTTTGAAAGTTTGTAACATAATTTGTATTTACAGTTCATACCTGTCTCTGTGTACATTTAAATGATTAATCAGTCTTTTTCCCAACTACTTCTGTTTGTTTTATCCTAAAACTTTTTCATATTAGTCGTGGACTTCTCTTGGCTAACAATGACACTTAATGTTTTAACTTTATTTTCCCCCACAGGTGATTTTGCTTATGACTTGTCCAAGGTGAGACATGGCATTTGTCTGTTGGTTTAAAAATGGATGGTTTTATCACTTTGGTAGCTGTGGAATCTTTGTTTTATATCCTTACTCTGGTTTTATATAACCCATATCATATTCCCAGCTGTTGAAACTTGTTTGCTTGAGGATCACAGAAATTGTATTGTTGCTGTGAGAAGAAAAATTACTAGCTTTTTTTTAACCTGCTTTACAGAGGGAGACTATCATTGGAGTCACTCTTTTTTTTTTCTTGCAACTATGACTTATTTGCCATGTAATATGCTTGAACAAGTACGGTGGATATATGACCTAATTGTGTTGCAAGTGTCATAAAACTCTTACTAAAACTAAACTAAACAAAGAGTACTGTGACACGGATGGACTTTTTGCCAGAATTTTTATTTTAAACTTAGATTGAGTGTTGCCTCTTAAAAGACTAGATTTGTACTGAATATGCAGTGTACTATGTGCTGGAAACTTGTCTTCCAAATAAAATCAGGCCATGATTATTTTCTCCACAGGATAATGGCAAAATTGGGGACCAGTTTATGCAGGAAATTCAATCCCTGGCTGCGTCAGTGCCTTACATGACCTGCGTGGGAAACCACGAGAATTCCTAGTAAGTCTGTATAGTATATGTCAACTACTGTTGAACATTGTCAAGAACAAAGAATTTTCTGGGCTCTGTTTTTTCCAATGCTTTTCTTTTCCCTTTGGTAGCTTGAAAATATTTTACGTTTTTACCTCATTGTGTGTGCTTGATTGTAAGTTGCTGACACTGTAATGAGGTTCAATGTATATTTGTGTTAGTACATAATGCAGTAGAAGTTATTGAGTGAGGCAGAACCGTAATTAAATAGCAATGCCAATCGGGCTTCCGCACGCTGCAAAATTTTGGTTCCCGTTTGCGGGTGAATTTTTGGACCGGGTCGGAACGTAAGTGACCAGCTTTCTCAAACTCGATCTGCTCTATTTCTGTACCAGTGTGAGTGAAACTTGGCAACCAATCAAAGAATAGGGCAAACTAATGATATATGGACGTTGAAGTTTGTACACATAAATTAACCTATACTTTTGGTGTTAGAAACACTTTCGTATTGGGTATACCGAAAACTATAAGGAGCTTGATTTTCAACATCAAGAAGGTAAGAGATCTATCTTTCCTCAAGATTGTCCTCAAATTTGAATGTTCTGTGTTAAATAGTTGTTTAGAACCTATCATAAATGTACTATTACCCCCCTTTCCGAAGCAGCTTCGCTCAGAGACCGGCCATTTTTCCCCCACTCCCTCAGCAAATGTATGTGACCTATTCCCCACATGACTATTCCAAGCCCATTCTTTGTCACTTGAAATGGCAATGCTGGGCGTGCACATCCGGTTGTTTTTCTCTCTGTTCCCCTATAATGTCGCAATGGGGGTATTCCAAGGCGAGCTTATCTCACCTCCGGGTGTTAGCCTCTCAATGGGAAAAAAGGGTTTTTAATTTTACGGCATGCTAGATTGGATTTAATTATATTTTATGGTTGACATGGTCTAAAGTCATCAAAGAAAGCTTTGCCATTGTTTAGTCATGCTGCCAACATATTCTTAACCCTCGTAGCACTTACCGGAAGCGCTGAGCGTGCTCTGTGCCGGGCCCACTTAGCCTTGACCGTTGGTGACCTGCCCCGGAGCGCTGGCCGGGTCGTTTGAGGCCCACGCGAGGAATGTTATTGTTTCATTTTGTATCTTGACAGTATGCATGCATACATTCTCCAAAACCCTAGACAATTTATAAATTCAGAAAAGACTTCACTTTCCAGAGGTTTGGTGTTCAAAATAATAAAGGGAAAGCTGTTAATGAAACCAATCATTCATCCACTGTTCAGCGCTACAGGGTAATTGACCTAAATAAACATTATAGAGTCTATCCCTAACAGAACCCACGAAGGCACGCAGTGCCTTGACCCCTGGGTTATTTTTTCCTTGATTTTGATTGGTTTAACCATTCTAGAGTAAAATTTTCCATTACAGAACCAATAATAGCAGCTTAACAGAACCCACGAAGGCACGCAGTGCCTTGACCCCTGGGTTATTTTTTCCTTGATTTTGATTGGTTTAACCATTCTAGAGTAAAATTTTCCATTACAGAACCAATAATAGCAGCTAAAGGTAACGCTATTTGCTCCAAAAATAAGGTGTTCCCCTAAATCGACAATAGTCGCCTTGCGCGCTTGGGAGCTGGTCCGCCCGTTGGCGATTATAGTCGCCTCGCGTGCTCAGCGGAGTGAGAGAGGGGAGGCGAATTTTGTCGCCTGGAGCGCTACAAGGGAAAGATCCCATATTGTGATACAATGCTATAAATAAAATGTTCTCATCCCAACAACCCTTTCAGGCAAAATCGTAATATGTAATTTTGATTATAACAAAATAACTATGAAATGGTTAGTAAATCTGACTTTTGAAATTATTTCTCCACCCAAAAACTCATTGGGTAGCCAAGTTTCTTTCTAACACTCGAATTAATTACTGAGATGGCTTTGATTTTCTTTCATGAATCTGCTATTGCGTGGTCCTCTTTTAGGAGTATCTTTTATATATTTGGCAACTTGGAAACAGATGTGTCACTTTTCCCATAAAACTATGACAGCTACAGAGTTGAAAGTTGGCAAGTACCTGCAAAAAGATAGATAGGTCCCTGTGACGGAGCCCGATTTTTTATTTATTCATTTCCTGAATTTAGAAAAATATATTTGACAAAAAGTTGCCGTCGTTTTTTGGCCTTTGTGATTATTCCACTGAGAAACAAAACAAAGCTGCGTAGCTGTCCTTTACAGTGGAAGTGCGGGAAATGATATTTCACGAGGCGCATTTTGTTTTGAGAGTAAAGATTTAGACCTTCTAATTTTTTGCATGTCTCAAGATTTATTGCTCCATTCCAGTGGAGTGTAAATATAGTAGACCAATGACTTTCAGTTCATGTTAATGATCATTCCTTTCATCGAAAGGGGGCCCAGCTTGTTTTCCTTTTTGTGGGTCATCCATATTTTGCCGACCTTTACAACCCCATAACTTTTTTAATTTATAAACCGATTCTTTATATTCAGAAAACATAATTCTTAAAATTAAAAACTCTTTCTTAGGTATCTAATAAAAAAGGGCTAAAGTGAAAAATTAAATTTTCAGTGGCATTGCTAAATTAAAATCTATTTATTATGCTGTCCTAAGGACTAAGGTAATTTGGATAACACATGTTTTAATGCTTCACCCTTATTGTGTGTATGAGACAGAGCATGAAAAAGTTCTTCAGTAAATTATCAGTGAACTGTGTTATTTTGAATATATCCTTAGACATGATAGCCCAACATTAATAGCTTCTGTTTCCATATTGAAATGTATAGTGTGCAACAAGTAGAAGAGATGAGACCCCTCAGTTGACGTACAGTTCATTTGGATACAATTCTGTTAACTTGTAAATAAGAAGAAAGGCTGGTGGGTGGTTGGAGGATGCCACTTTTTCTCTTTGCTGTTTCTGTCTATCTGCCTGTCTTACTCTTTCCCCTACACTGAGTATCTATTGTTGTGTTGACATGCTTCTCTTAACTCACACGGACAAATAAAAGAACTAGAAGGGGACATGTTCTTTGTTCGTAGTGTAAGACTAATAAGATTCTTTTTTTAGGGGTGAGGGTCGGGATTAGCATGTAACTTACCTGTGTAGTCTGTTGGTTGTTCCTGAGATGTCAGTTTTCATAAAGTTGCAACTTTTAAATTCTTCTCTTTTTGTTTTCCTCAGTAATTTTTCAAACTACAGAGCCAGATTCAATATGCCCAATGATAATGGGAAGATGTATTACAGGTATGTATTTTGAGTGTCTCAATTATTTGTTAGTCTATTTAGGGTTTTTTAAAGTGAATTATGAAATTTCACAAGGTAGAGACAAATATATGAAGTTACTATCTTTCAGATCTTCAATAATAATTGCTTTTCCCCTTTTAATACCAACAACTCTATGTTTGTTTTTGTTGCTGTTGCTATGCATATGAACATGTATATATTGTTGATTTTGTGTGGGGGATATCAATTATAGGGGGTGGACATAATTTTTCTTCTTTCACTTAGTTATTGTCCTCATATCTACTACAAACTTTAATTATTGGTATTCCAAGAAGTCTACTGCATTATAATGTTAATGTACTCAATGCTAGATATATATTATTATACTGAGAATTAGTTATAGACTGAAAAAAGGACAAAAATGGACACAAAAGATAACCATAGTTAGAAACATCTACAAGGGCATTAATTTATCAATAATTTTAATTGAATCGGGGAAAAAGCTGGACCTGACTATAAGTCAATTTAAAACAAAGGTACCTGTTGTTGTTTATATTATATGCCTTTCGTTCAAGTATGAATCTGGTAATACAGTAACCCCTCCAAGAAGACAGATAACACACACACACACACATGCATGCACGCACACACACACGCTCACACACTCACACACACACACACACACACTCACATGCACACACACACACACACACACACACACTCACACACACACACACACGTACACACACACACACACATGCACACACGCACACACACACGCTCACACACTCACACACACACACACACACACTCACATGCACACACACACACACACACACATGCACACACACACACACATGCACACACACACACACAACACACACACACACACACACACACACACACACACACACACACACACACACACTCACATGCACACACAAACAAACACATATACAGGAATTAATTAGCATGGTGAGCTACAGCTACACACAAACACACACACTCACACACACACACACACACACACACACACACACACACACACACACACACACACTCACATGCACACACAAACAAACACTTATACAGGAATGAATTAGCATGGTGAGCTACAGCTACACACACTGGGCGGACAGTTACCTCAACTAGCGAGACATGACCCTTCAAGTTTGCTGACTGTGATTCTCAGGTGTAATGCATGATATTCTAGACTGCACTGGCTGGGGCCTTTTATATTGTGGTTTGTAGATTGGAGTGTCCTGGAGAATTAATGCTCACTTTTAACTATTTTATGTCCAAAATACTGGAGCATACTCAGAGAATGTGTTGAGCTATAAGAGAGAAAGAGTATCTGTTCATGCATGGGCCTTTCTTTTGGGTTTCTCCTTTTGACAATGCTTTAGCATTGTAAATGATAAGCCTTTTTTGCTCTGCTTTAAAATAACAGTTGAGGCTAAGACTTTCTCTTTGCCTGCTTGCATTTTACTTTTAATAGTTTATATTACCATATGGCTCTCACCAAGTTAAACCATGCCCTGTTTTATGTTTATGTGCTTTGCAGTTTCAACATGGGTCCTGTCCATTTTGTGTCCATATCAACGGAATTCTTGTACTTCCCGGACTATGGATTCACACAGATCTATGAGCAGTATGACTGGCTCAAGAAAGACTTAATGGTAAGCTCACCTGGTCTCACCAAACAAATTCCTATTTAAATTTTTCATTGGGACTCATAATAATGAAATGTTCAGTTTGTTGCTGTGCTTTGATTAAATGTCAAGGCTTTGTTTTCTGTACAAATGTAAAATCAGCTTGTGTTCAAGAGTATTAGCATTAAAATGATTTTATAGTAGTGTTGGTAGTCTACTGGTAATAGGCTTACATACGAAGGAAAGAGTCCAGGAACCCAGAGGAGGGGTAAAGGGGGAGGGAAGGTGCAGAAAGTGGAGACGAAAGCAGAGAGCAGGTAAGGGCTTGACGTTGTGTATTTGTTAAAGGCTTTGTACACAAATTTTTATCACTTCACCAAGGTAGGAATGAGAAACCAACTACAGTCACAGAAAGATCTTGCTCATAATACTCATATGTTGGGGTTGAAGCATTTTTACAATGGCAGCTTTACTGCTTCTTAAGAAGCTGAGAATTTTTCAGTTTTACAGGGTCTGCCAGGGTAATAATGCAATATAAAGTGCTTAAAGTCTATTTACAAGAGAGTAGGGATGTGAGCAGTGTAAATGCAGTATATTATCATTATGACTCAAAGATCTTGTGTGTCATATTTATCCTATATAATATTTAGTTTCTACCATCTGATTTTATAATAAATGCCTTGACATTAACACTCCATCATAATTATATTCCCAGGCTTTTAAAACCATATGTCCTATTCTGTCAGCTTATTTATTCTCTGTAAATAAAATCTTTTATTGTTATAATTTTTAGTGTACTGAAATTCAAAATTCTGTGAAAGAGTTCAACTAAACATTGTTTGATATGTTTTCACAGAGACTTGTTCAGCAGAAAGGTCATATTTAGTATTGTGACTTTAACCTGTGGATGTGTTGAAGGCAGTCATTGTGGTTCTCTCCTGTCCTCTGTGGACTGTCAGAGTACAGTTACTCACATATAGCAGGTGCCTTGAAACAAGAATGTCTTAAATGTTTTAAATTCCTCCCATATTTTTCCTTTTTTTATATCCACTGCACTACTCAGTACATGTCCTTCCAGATATTATTTGTCTGTAGGATCGCTATGAATACAGTGGCGTCAGCTTAAATTGAACACAGTAGATTTAAAAAATAGCTGTCCGTAAACGAAAAGAAATAAAAATCTGCAATTTTTTTTTCTTCTATTTGGACTGCCTCTCTATACCAACTGAAGAAAATCTTGCGGTCCCACAGATTTCAGTTTAAGTGGACCTCACTGTATTTGTTTGCTTTCAATTAATTTCTTTTTGTTGTCTCTCTCAGGAGGCCAATCAGCCTGAGAACAGGAGCAAGCGACCATGGATTGTTACCTTTGGCCATCGACCAATGTACTGTTCCAACAACGACAATGATGACTGCACCAGCAATGAAAGTCTGGTGAGAATTGTTTGATGGAGGTTATCAAATTAGAGTGAATAAAAAAGAGGACTGTCTGAATGTTATATTCGAATGGAACGAAGACTGGTAGCCAAGTGTTTTCTGGTGTCCCAACTGTCCACAGGAATCGACATATGTGGAAGTGCAGTTTGAAACTGTAATGGTTTTCTAAATGACAAGTGCCTTTTACTAATTAACTACCGGTACCTTTAAGTATAACTTTAATGTGTGACTTTATGTTGTGAAAGGCCTTTTTTGATATTTTTCTTGACACCAATGCTTTCTATTTCTGTCGTCTTTTTTTATTTGAATTGAGTTAATTCAAATGTCCATAGTACTTTTTTCTTTAACCCTATGGCCTTCTAGAATTTAAATGTGTTCTTCAGCATATTGCAATGTCGATCTAGCGGTGGACCCAGAGGAACTTAAGGTTAATGTCAAAACCAGATATTTTTTCCCATCAATTCTTCATCTGTGTTTGTCTCTTGATTGGTAAACATTCCAAGTGACATACTCTATCTGTTAGTAGCTACTAAAAACAGACTAAATGACAGCTAACAAACACTCTCCCAGCACACATTTCTTACTTGTACAGTTATAACTTCCACCTTTCATCAGCAAAATGCATTTTTGAAATTTTGTTAACAACTTAAAATTGTGCGTGCGTGTGTGTGTGGGTGTGTGTGTATACTGTATGTGTATGTGTTTCAGGAGAGGGGCAAAGAAATTGAATAATTTGAATTACCTTAAATGCTTACATCAGTAACCCCTCCCCCACCCCCCTTATGGGAATATTACTCCGAATGTCTTTCCTTAGCACAAACTAAGTAGATGTAGGAGATGCTGAAAAATGTGTCAATCTGTGTCATCAGGTGCGTGTAGGAGTTCCCCTGCTAAGGATTCTCAGCCTGGAAGATCTCTACTATCAACAAGGTGTGGATTTGTCCATCTGGGCCCACGAACACTCCTACGAGAGATTGTGGCCTGTGTACAACCTAAAGGTAAGATAATAATGGATAAGATATATGGAAAAAATATGTTTTGCATTATCTTTTTTTATTATTAAGTGTAGTTAGTCTGTGTGATTGCCTTTGGTATGATAGCAGCATTCTCAGCGTAATTTTGGAAGTTCAGATTTTGTTTTGATTGGATTGATTTAAGAAAATTTAATAGTTACAGCTACGTTTAGGAACATGTTTCAGCCTGTTCAATCCAAGTGAAAGATTGTTGTTGGTTTATGGGTGCCCTGTTGTGGTTTGGTTCTTCTTTAGTATCAAGCATCTATTATTATCTCTCCTCATAATTTTGTGTTTGTTACTCTCTTGTATTCTCTAATTACTCTTTTAATTTTTCAATTTGGGCACTCAGACATTGGCACACTTTTATTTTCCTTCAACATATTTTCCTCAATGTTTTTCACTCTCTGCACCAAACTTCCAAATAAAAGGAACAACTTTGGTTATCTGGGTGTCCAGATTGAAAACCTAATAGCATAAGTCATTCCAATATCAAGAGTATTATGATTGTCATCAGATTTTGAGGAATCATTATCTTCAATGTTTACATGAGAAAGAAACAGCTGTGTGCCTTTTTTCACCTATACTTACTTCCCATTACTTGATGAGGCAGAGATGACATAGTCAGCTGTTCTTTTGTTTACATCCTAAAAGCTTTGAAAGACGAAACAAAATATTCAAAAACATGCTCTGCACTTTTTTAAATGCACTCATTTTAGAGTACCCATAATTCTGTTTCGTTTTCTAACTTCCTATAAAAAGCTGGACTGGATAATATTTATGTCTCTATGCTGTCCTCCTTTCCTCCCAGATATTTGGCTCTTTCTGGGACTGAAAATTGAAGGTTTTTGTTTGAGAAATTGTGAATCGAGAAAGAAATTTTGGAGTTTCTACCTTCATAATCGTGTGATACCACTTATTCCAAAGTGCCTATGATGTGAACTTTTCAGGTCAGAAACGGGAGCTATGAGTCTCCCTACACAAACCCTGGAGGAATCACACACATCATCACAGGGTCTGCTGTAAGTGAACTTGGTTCTTTTTTTCGCCTAAAAGACAATTTTTCAAATTGAAAACTAGCGATGTTTTATAAGCTGAAACAGAGCCTTTTTATTCACACTGAGAACACAGATCATGCTTTGTGTTGTTGATCGAAAGTTATTGAGATAAAAGAGGTTTGTGCTTTTTTTGTGGTACCTTGTTTATTCTTGAAATCTAGGAAAGAGTCTATTACTGCCTTGCTATTCTATGCTTTATGTAATCTGTAATGGATATTACGAAGAACTGAGGTTACTTGTCTTATGACATTCTAGGAATAGATACGTTCTTTATTTTTTCACCAGGGATGCAGTGAGCGCCATGAGTATTTCCAGAAGAATCCTCCACCTTGGTCAGCCTACCACTCCAGCGACTATGGCTACACCCGCATGACGTTTGCCAATAAAACACACCTGTATGTGGAGCAGGTGTCAGATGACAAGGTAGACTTTGCTAGCTTTGCGGAGACAAAGTTTTTGCTTCGATTGTCTAAAAGTTTCTTATAAGTTTCTCTGTACAAGGAAAACTTTATATATTCAAGGTAACCTATCTTGTGAAAAAAGTTTGAAACCTTTCCAATTTTTTAAAAGTCTGACAAGGTGATGCTGATAGCTGAAAGAAAGTTGCTTTCAAGGTGACTTTCCATACCTTTATAATGTTTGATCTTTACGTTACTAACTTTGTTTATTACCTTATTATAACATCTCCAGTATTAATGTTTTTATGATTTTGTTTCAGAATGGCGAGATCATTGACAGCTTCACCCTTATCAAAGAACAGCATGGACCATACGGTGATCTGAACAACAGAGTATAGATTGCTGAGTAAGGTGGACACTGGACATTCGGACACTTGACACTTAATCATGGGACATTTGGACTCTCATCTCATGTGTTTCTTAAAGTATCTAGACTTGAATGAATCTCATTGAGATTCACATGGTTCTTATTATTTGACATTCCAAAGTAATTATTTCTTTTTTGTGATGGCATGATTATGGTTAAGTACCCTGTTGACCATATAATTTTTAAAGTTTCTTTCTCCGCTGTAACTGTACTTTTGAATGCCTATACCAAAGTTTTAACTTGCTCATTGCTGGGTGGTTTTACTCATATGACTTTTCCCTACCAGGTATTTTGAAGCCTTTTCCAATATAACTTTGAAATTGAAATTAGAACTATTTGAAAAGGTAAAGAAAAATGCCTGGCTCTTAACCCTATGAACTATAGTAAACATTTGAACATATGCTACATTTACCATTCTTGATACAGTTAAACCTTGTTATACCACATACTTTGGGTTTAGCGTGAAGTTGGCAGTACAACAGGATAGCCCCGATTACCATCTTGACTAGGGGTAGACTGTTGGAGATTAGAGACAAACTGTTGCCAGTACTGACTGAGCAAGATCTGTTTTGCAAGTTTGTTATGTGCAGGGGAAGAAATGAGTAGCAAACATTTATATACAGCTCCAGCTAAACTGTACAAAAATTCAAATTGAAAATTTCTGCAGGATTACAAGCAAGGCTGTATGCGTATCAAGGACACTGTAGACATAGGCCTACTATTTAATTTACCCAATGCTCTTATGTCCTTGACCCACCTCAGCCTGACACGTAGACTTGAACGTGAGATCTCACAATAATAAAAGCCTCATTGGCACCCGCCAGCCTTTTCCTTTGGTCTTCAGGCTGGTACATGTATCTGGCGAAACCAGATACTTTGCTAACAAACCAAGGACAAGCAGTTCCTTTGAAGTCTCTCCAGGCAACTTTAAAATTGCATTCCAGTTTTTTTTCCAATATTGTGCAAAGCCTAGATATAACAGCTTTCTCATAATCAGCAAAAATCAAGAGGATCAGCGACAAGACCTAGAAATAAGCTGAACTCGTAGAGACGTGTAGGAAAGAGGTTATCAAGCATCCATCGAGTGGGTGTCATGCGTCGTGTGTAATGTGCACCTCTGGCGGCCAATTTGCTGGGTATGTCAAGGCAAATTTACTTTAGTTTAATAAGGATACACATTTCCTTAGGATTCAGGAGGCCAAGGCTCAGAGAGTTAAAACAGATCAAAAGTAAAGAAAAAATATCATCAAGAATTTGGTTGCAAGTTTAAGGGCACATGCTATGTGGATAGATTTGCATGGAGGCTCAGCCGCTTTGCCAAGTTAATGGCCTTTAAATTTACACCGTAATACTATGTTTCTCACAAAATAATGTACAAAATGCACAATTTCTTTTGTCTCAAGTGTTTCCTCCTATTCTGATGTGATGAGACTAAGAGGATGTTGATTCTTTCAAGAATGTTGTTTTCCAGATTTTTATGACCGTGTTTTTCTGTTTCTTTTGTACCTTATTTTTTAACAAATCTGGTTATACTGTCTTTATTTCCAAGGAAAAACATATTGACATTAAGTCCATATAATATTTTTATTCCAGTGGAATGGTTGATTTCATTCGTCAAAGTTGACGTTTTGCTTTTAAAAGCTTTTTTTTTTGGTTGTCAGTTCCTTAAACCCTCAGATATTCAAAAGTATGTCCTGACCGTTGTTTGAGTGTCAAAAGAGCACCTAGATCAAAACAGGTACAAATCTACAATTGCTGTAAAAGTCAAAGTTTGTCAAATAGTTGTGTCAAAACCCAAAGTTGGTTTCTCTTCTAGTTAGAGGTTAGTCTTGAGGGCCACTTTGCAGGATGGATATATTTTAGGAATCAAGACACTTTGGTTAGGGTTGTATTTGTTTTGAGGAATATGAATGTGAATTTATTCTTTGTATGTCAAATAGATGTGTTTTATCACCTGAAGCTTTCTTTTATCAGAAATAGTTTGCTGAAAAATATATTTTCATCCAAAGAGAATGCTTCTCTGAAACTGTTTTTAATTTGCAGTATTTGTCCCACACTCACACCCTAGGTCAAGAATTATAAGTTTAATCTTTTCAAATACTTTTTTGAAAGAATGTCTGCATCATACATATTGTCTCTTCCATCAGAGTTGAACTTGCTTGATTTGATCATCAATATTTTCATGGTGTTGGTTGACCTAAATTTTTTTTCAGTACCACTCAATTCTTTCTGAAAAAAAAGGGCCAAGGCGATCTGAATGTTGAAATCTGTTGCACATCACACCTGACAGGGTGGGTGTTGCGTAATTACCTTTGTATAATGGCTGTTAAATGCAGGTTTCTCAGTGTGGAGAGAGGTTGTCAAGGTTACAGTTACAGTAAACTGTATAAATCCATGTGAGTTGTGATTTAGAGGCGTTCAAACACTTTTCAACACTGTAAGATTATTTTAAAGGCGACACCTCTGACTTATAGGTACATCTCCGACAGGACTTAGCCAAGTCAGCAGAGAGCCTTGAAAATCCTGAAACAACCCAAGCTAAAGAGAACCTCTTTGGGGTTTCCTGCCAAGGTCCTCCACACTGCAGCTGAGGCTCATTACAACAGACCTAGCTGTTTTCAAAGTTTCTGGACCACGACTTCATTGTTTTACGTTTTGTAGAAGCAAGACTCGGGGGTTATGATTTTATGTTCGTCACTAGCTATTCATTTGGTCGATTCACCAGAGATAGGACAAAAGATTAGGTCCGTAAGGTTTAGAGTGTCAGTATTTTTTAATGGCTCTCTCATTTCTGTCATTCCCTCTTCTCTAGTCTATAAATGTGGGTTTGCATGCTCATATATACATGTCTTCACATGTACTCACATGTGCTGTAATTTTTAATCGTAATGGAGGGGGCTGGGGGGGTTTATCCTGTTTAATGATGATTGAATTGATGCAGAAGATGAGATTAATTGTGTTTGGGTTGGGTTTTTTTAACTTTCTAGATTAAGCATGGTTACAATTCTTGCATTATATATTTGTTTTCTTCACCAAAGGTTCAATGTTGTCCATTTTACACAAATTATGATAAGTAAGAGCATGTTTATATGTTTAAATTGAGCAATGTAGTTTTAAACAGCTGGAGAGTGTATCTCACCAGATATTTATCTCTCCGATATGTATGTCCGTTTGATGATTGTTTATTACGACAACACACACTGTGTTTGTATTTCAGTACAATTTTATCTCTTTTACAGAAGACAGAAACTCAGTTGTTTTAGTGTGCCTTTCCATTATTCCTTTCTCTGTTATCTATATGTTTCAGCTGTGGCAGACTGTCACAAACTTTCCCTTTTGTCTGTGTATTATGGTTGTGGCAGGCAATACTTTGATATTTTATTGATGTCGTTGATCACATTACTTTATCTTTTGTCTGTGCTACAGCTTTAGAACTCTGTCTGTGATGTATTGGTTAGGTTCTTTGCTATTGCACACAGAAGACACGAGTTCAATTCTCGGGTGTGGAGGATTATTTATCAAGTATATATCTCGATCTGTGTGTTGGAGTGTAGAATCAGAATTTGTTGGCAGGGCCTGAGCAGGCCACCTATTAAATTGTCTAAATATAATGTCAGTTGGGGGTGTAAAACCTTTAAATTGATCTAACCATATAAACACTTGTGTGAAGTATTGGCTGAAATAAGGGGCTGAAACTCAATTAGACTTGACCACTTTTCAGGTGGCACGATATTATGTCAACAATACCCATCTTGTGTCAGAGAATCAATAATGTCATAATCATAAAGTGCAATAATTAATGTATATGTGTCATGACGCGGTGGGATCAGGCGTTTGTCAGTTTTTGGGCATGTGGAGTTATTGGTATCATCTTAAAGCTTTTTTCATTTGTCTTGCTTTCGATTTAAAAAAATATCCATTTATCATGAATGCAAGTTGAGATGTTTACGAATGAAGAAGGTGGGGGTCACCTGGTCTCAGAGGTAAAATTAGCGAGAAAATGGCCGCCAAAGTTTAGTTATTTCCTTAGTCTTAGTGTCCGTGGAAACAGAAAATGTACACTTTTTATGCCTTTAATTGATGTTTTTCAGTACAATCCACGCAGAAATGGGTTCTTAAATGGACATGGAAAGTGTTGAGCCTAAAAACCAAAATTTGAAAAAAATTGCCAAACCTGTGGAAAAATGCCAGTTTCTTCACTTTCATTATTTTGACCAGCGCCTGATTTCACCAGGCTCCTTCACATATTTTATTTTGTCTAAGTATTGCTCTGCTTAGAAGAACCAATGCATATTGTGTATATCATTAACATTTTTTATCGCTCTTCTTGCCGTGCTGTGAACAGATCAATCAAAAAAGTCTTTTTCTGTGCTTTTTGTGCAATACTTACAGATATTAAAATTTACAGAATGCACCTGCACTGGAAATCGTCGATCCAATGTTTGCTTTTAATGATTTTGAAATCAAGAAATCTAAAAAAATAATTTTCACAGATGTTCCATAGAAGTGGTGGATTTCCTCTTATTGGTGGATATTATTGCTGTTTCTTGTTGTTGGTAAATTGAGAACAAGAAGGAATAAACAGAAGTGGAAATACGTTTCATGCTTGATTTTCTTTTTAAATTTTTTTTTATTAAAGAATATTTTTGGTATAGATATGTACATGCTGCATGATAAATCCTGTTGAAAAATATGTATGGGGACTGATGAGGAAAAGATCATAAACAGGGTTGAGTTTTCTGCTCCTAGCACATACACCATTATAATATTAGTTAATACATGATTTAAATAAATATGTGCAGGTTTAAACATCCCTTTCAACCTTGTAAGGTTATTTATTTGTATGGAAGGGGCGAGGGAGGGGGGCCTATTAGGTCCATATCCGACCAAAATATATTTATATATATTATATATATATATATAGTCGAACCTGCCCTGACGGCCACCTCTATAAGACGGCCACCTGTACAAACGGACACTTTCCATTTTCCCCCTTGCGTTTTTTCTATATAATTTAACTGTGTAAAACGGGCACCTGTCCAACGCGGCCGCGGCCACCATATTTCAACACACAACCCCTATCACGCAAAGCAATAACACCTATCTTAGACGGCCACCTTAGTGACTCCATTACGTTTTGTCATAAATCAAGCATTGGCCCCTGGCGTTGTGGGCAAGCCATCATAATATAAAAACCTGTCGTTGTTAGGTAGTCCCTCCAACTGATCATGTTGCGTAGGCCCCTCCCACTGTTGACCAATAGGTAATAAAATTAATTTTCAGCTGCTGGGAAGGGAAGCGTGTGATCCCTCATAACCCATAAGCCACGCCCAGAGCCCATACACAAATCGCAAGGGAGATGAGTGGTCACTGTTTACCCAGACTGTCACAAAGTAACAATGGACGTCAGCATGAACTTGTGACAGAAGCGTCGCTCGTTCTCCGAGTGGTAGTATGTGTGTTTGTTTTACGCTAGCACTTGGTCCCCCCTGTCTGACACATTTCGTTTTATTGTCACCCTTGCACAAAAGCAGAAACAAAAGAAAAGAAAACCCAGCGAAAACAACAACAACAACAATGCAACTACCTTCGGTTGGGACCTCAGAAAGGAATGGTTTGTTTTCTCAGAAAGGAATGGTTTGTTTTCTCAGAAAGGAATGGTTTGTTTTCTTCATCCTGATTAGTCCTGCCTAAGAGGGTCACCTGTCTTATACGGCCACTTTTCTCCGTGACAATGGGTGGCCGTCTTACACAGGTTCGACTATATATATATATATAATAGAGCATGAAAAGATTCTCAAACAAGCCTCATAATGTAAGTTAAGAATACTCCACCGGAACAGGGCGCTATCCGCACTATAAGCCAGCATGGTACCAACTGAGCTAGCCTCTAACAGTTTTCCCTCAAAGTAATCTAATCCCCCAACTCCTTGTCTTCTGCCCTCCCCTTTCCCCTCGCCAAACAAAAACAAATAGGTGTAAGGCACTTTCGTTTTAACGTGTGTTGGTGAGGATAAAATGACGTTTCAACTAAATTCAACGTGAGGTTGGGAAGTACCTGTTATGGTTACTTTTTCGCTTCTCATGTGGGGGAAAATCTACTTCAAGTATTACTGAGTGTATGTACCTCTGTCTGCTTGATGGAGTGTTGCTTCTGACTGAGCTTGGATTTGCTCTGATGAAAACGGCCGATGCAACCCGCCTCCTAAGTTGTCCAGATTGTGTAGATGTGAGTGTAAAACAATGACAGGTGGACAGGAGTGCTCGTCTACGCCGAGTGAGCACGGCATTGGTCTCTTTTTGCCAGGAGCAAGCGGGAATAATGGTAACAATGAAAAGAAGTAATACAAATAGACCAGACCGAAGGGTTAACCTTTGACCCCCTCTAGGTACTGAGGCCGTGACGGCTTGAAGATACATTGTGTTGTGCAGGGTATGACATGTGAGCATGGGTTGACTCCAAAGAGAGTGCATTTCTCCGCATGTCTTTCATTTCCATCAACAAAAAACGTTGATGCTCACACCAGTGTATCACTGATTCTCACATCAGCCAATCAGTCTATCGTTGATTCTCACATCAGCCAATCAGTCTATCGTTGATTCTCACTTCAGCCAATCAGTGAGCTGCTTTTTCTGGCCGTTAGCGAACCAGCACGTCCCTTATCAGTATAATGTGAAATTGCTGTTTTCCACTCCTTCCAGTCCCCTGTCACTGCCTGCAGAACTGTTTTCACCCCCCTCCTCCTCTTCATGCTGATCTAAACGCAAGTCTCGTTCTGGATTCAGATCAACGCTTTTACTCTTTGCCAGTTTGATCTGGTATGTGAGGACGATAGCCGTGATGAGAATTATCAGCGCAGAGCAGACAATGATCATGATCACCGCGAACAATCTCCAGGATAGCGACCCAACGCCCGAGTCCTTAAACGCCAGCTCGCTGAAATCATCGTAAGGCGTCGAAACAGACATTGCTTGAGAGAAAGGACCACTGCCTCCATCGTTCTTACTCGCCACTTTGACCAAGTACGTGGTACTCTCTTTCAGCTGTGTCACGACCCAGAAAGAAGTTGTCGCCCCTGGCACCGAGTGCACGCTCTTATAACTTTGGGCTTCTCCTGTCGGTTTGTCCGCGCTGGAGACTTCTAGAACATACCCCGTGACCGGAGACGCCTGACTGTCTCCTTCCTCTGGTACAGACCACGTGATGTTGAAGGTGTGTGCATCCACGGCGGAAATGGTCTTTAATTGGGGTACAAAAGTCGGAGTCTGCATCTCTACTGTGAACGCCGATGTCATGGCGCTACTTTTCTCCTTGTTCTTGGTGTTGACGGAAAAAGCTTGAACAGTGTGCAGGCCCACGTCCAAATCACGAAATTCTGCCTGAGGATCAGAGTTCGATCCGACAAAAGCTTCTTCGAGCAAGTTGTTATCCGTATCCAGGAGAGTCACAGTGACCATCACGTCCATAGGATCACCACCGAGTTCTTCCGGGACGCTCCATGTGATAGACGCTGTTCTATTTATGACCTCAACTCGCAAATCTGTGACCGGTGACGGGGCTCCGGGCTGGGTCTTTACGGACGAGACTGGGGAGTAGTCGCTGTATCCGAGAACATTCCGCACTCTGGCTCTCACCTCGTAGTCTGTGAACGGTTTTAACTGATGTGCCTCTAGCTTAATCCGGTACTTCAGCTCTTTGCCCGTTGACGCGACAGCCACGTCCTCTAAAACGTCCGAGTTGCTTTCACTAGCAGCCCTTGCTGTTCTAGCGCTGGTGGTACCTTCCGCTGATTTAGCACAAAGATTATCACTGTCATCAAAAATACCCTTATGAGAGTCTAGATAAACATCTACGTCATTGTTTAAAGGAAAGTCGAGAACAAGCCACGGAGAAGACGAGTTTCTCTTTCTAAATTCAACGCCGACGCCTATCAGAGCCAGAGAAGTGACGTTATGTTTGTTGTGAACCTCTACCTGCACACTAGTCGGAGAGGGGAGAATCGTGCCAATCGTGACTTCAGAGGGAAGGTCAAAGGACAAGCTGACGGAACCGTCCTGATTTGACGCTGTGCACGAGTAGGTCTCTTGTAACAGTCTTTTCTCAATATACAGCGCACTATCGCGCACTGAGTGGCCTATCGTCGGTGTTTGTATGACGTTATTTCCCATGTAATAGGATACTAGTGCTTCTGGTGAGGTGAAAACTACACACTTGATCTCGATCTCTCTTTGGGACTCAGATGAGAGAACCTTCACCACAGTTGGTTTTCCTTGAACAGTCAGGCTTGTTTTCTTCAGGGAACAACCGATAGCATTGCATGGTTTGCAGCCCCACTCACCAGCGTGAAGCTGAGAGTTCACCGTTCCCGTCAAGGATGAGCGCACTTCCCCTGAGCTTTGTGCATCATTGGTTAGCGTCAAACCCACTTCAGCGTCGGTTTCTTGGGTGATCTCCTTTCCTGATGGATCGATCCAAGTCACATCAAGCTGAGGAGGTCCCGCTGCCAAACAGACGAGGGTGAAAGTCGCGGATTCCCTTGGTGTCTGAGGTGAAGAGGTCAGGTCTTGAACTGTAGGAATATCGTTTACAGAGAGGTACACTGGACTGGAAACTACAGAACCTGCGTCGTTTTGTAGAGAACACATATACCATCCCACGTCATTTGGCTCAGCACATGAGATCACCACGTCCCCGTTTTCATCCCAAAAAAATCTTGAGTCAGCAGACTGGGGGTCTTCTTTAGTATGATCTCCATTGCTGGGCGGATCTGGGTACGTCGTATGAGCTAGTAAAGTTGTCATCTCGCCTTGGGGGTTTGACGACCACCAGGAAACTTCGAATGAGGTGGTTCCATCCCCTTTACAGGAGAATGTAATTGGTGAACCAGCAGCAGCCGTAGTGTTGCTTGGCGGGGTCACAAGGACGGGGATGAGGGAGAGGTTTAGTCTCGCCGACACTGACCTCTGCCCGGCTTGATTGGTAGCCAAACACGTGTACAGACCAACGTCTTGGGGCGTGAAGTCTTCGATAGTCAGAGAGCCGTTATTGTGGTCACGAATTCTGTTGTTGGTGTAAATCTTACCCTGGTTGAAGAGCCACCGCTGAGAAGGTACTGGAACGCCATTGGTGTAACAGTTCAACACGGCAAGTTGGCCTTTCTGAACTTGTTGAGTGACAGGCTGGACTTCAAACACAGGAAAAGTCAGCACACGTAATACTGCAGGCTCAAACCGCCAACCCTCTGAGTTGCTGGCTTTACAAACGTAAATCCCGGCGTCACTTTGTTCAGCGTTCGATATAGACAAGGAATTCCCGTTCACAAGACTGTATCTAGAATTTTCTTCGACTGAAATTTGTGACCATTCATCTTCAAATATGCTTTCCTCAGCCACCAATAAGGAAGATTTAATATACACAATATTAGTAGACTGCAAAGAGAGATCGACCATGTGTAAATAGAACCAATCAACCGTGGCGTCGGGGAAAGAATTTACTTCACAGTCCAACCTCAGACTGTCGCCCTCTACGACCACTTGACTCTTCGGCAGCTTCGTCATCTCGGGCGGACCAATCACAGAGACGAACGCAGCGGACTCTACCGTACTCACGGTGTTTGAAGCCACACATGTGAACTTCCCGTGATGTTTTCTTTGAGCACGTGACACCTTCAAAGTTCCGTCGTCCACGTCGAACTCTGGGTCACTCAACTCGGCGGAGGAATCTTCTGGAACCGACCATGTTATTATCGGTTCAGGGTTCCCAACTGCGGAGCATGGCAAAGAGAACTCCGCATCGATGTCTACCGCTACATTCTGTGGTGCAGCAGAGAAAGCAGGTTCAAAGTGCACGTCAACAAAAGCGCTTGCTGTGTCTTCTCCTTCTTTATTCGACAAACGGCAAGAATACAACCCCCCGTCCGAGCGTGTCACTTGTGGTATGTGTAGAGTCCCATTCTCGTCAACTGTCCATTTGTCAACATCTGATACCCCGCCAGAAATTTCACCGTTGAGAGATTCAAAGACGAGACCACTAGGGAAGACCCAGATGATAGAAGGTTCTGGATTACCCCGTCCCTGACATTTAAGTTGTAATGATTCCCCCTCCCTCAACTCATTGTTCATTGGTGCCACGAGTATCTCCGGCGCAAGCGGCGCTCCTTCAACGGTCAGACTAGCTTCAGCGCTCTCTGAGCCGTGCTCGTTTGTCCAGTTACACATATAGGCGCCTGAATCCAAGACAGATGCTCTCTCGATGGTCATCATCCCGGTCTGCTGGTGTACCGAAATTGATGACGTCACGGAAGGGTTGGAGGTCAAGTCTGGTGACGCGCTTCTGTCTGATGGTTCAAAAGTCCAACTCACCGTTGATGGCGGAAAACTCCGGGACTCGCATGAGAACGTCACGTTATAGCTGAGGGAACACGAGAAAATGAAAAATTACAGGCAGTCAATCTATTCAGGCACAGACACACTCTTACCTTACACACATTACTGATAAAATGTTCTTGTAAAAGAATAATCCCACAAAGAGTACGACCAACACACATTTTAACATGATCCAAAAACCCATTTTTAATGCATATATATATTTAATATAATATGATATTATAATATAAAAGAAATGGAGCACCTGGGCGATCTCGCCATGAATCAGCAACTTACTTTTACAATAATGCTCCACAAAAACACAATTCACCCCTTGACAAACTGTCAAATTTTATTTGCAATATACATCATCATGATCGACAGCGTGTTAACTAAGCTTTCAAGCTCACCACAAATCAGTTGGTGTAGCACAAAGCGCCACAAAGTGCATCTCAGCATGCAATCTCTATACTATAAATGTGAAAGGACTGGTTTTAAAAAACTGAGGTATCAACTTTGTAGACAGGAACATTCTCGATCCTATGTTTTCCAATGTAGACTGAAATACGGAGGTCGCATCGTTTAACCTGCATTATCTTGAATCGGGCGCACAGCTAAAAGAATATACCCATTGGTCATCTCTGCCACGTTACTATACTTTAAAGTATTGTTAAAGCCATTTTGTATTATCAGACCACGTGAAAATTCAACTATATTATTATTATTATTATTGTTGTTGTTGTTGTTGTTGTTGTTGTTGTTATGTTGGCGTATATTATCTACAAGTCTTATGTATCATCAGAGCACGTAGTGAATTTTTAAAGATCTTACGTGAACGTAAGAACAAACAGCACTGACCAAAAATTGCAACAAAAACTCATCACAGACCGGATATTGCGGTAGCCTCCGTTTTTCTTCGGCCAGACGAAACTTGGCATGAAACATACCCACTCTTTAAAACCCAGAGGGGCAATATTGTAAACCCTTCCCCAAACCCCTTGCGATGTTAGTCTCCCCTCTGTACAATGAGGCATCCAATGTATTGATGAGCGAACTAACATACTGGCTTTTTGTAGCCATCCTTATCAGGAAGCTGTGCACATGAGTGCTTTCAGATGTACTTTTGCCATAATTTTATAATGACGTATGTTTCCATAACGCATTCATTTGATCATAGACCATTTCAGTCACCAACCGTACTGAAAATGATTTCGATATGGGGAAGTAGTTGTTCTTAAAGCCCCCAAATCAAGCTTCTCTGGCTTAACATTGCTTAATCCTTATTTACCGTCGAAACTGCTCTGGCGACCATTTGTCCAAGACAATCATCTGTGCAAACGACCATTACCCACTTCTTCTTGCGGGTTTTTTCTCCACATTAAAACTATTATAATGGCACTGTCCAAGAGGATCCTGTCCATTATGACCACATTTCGCCTCAGCACAAAGTGGTCGTCTTGGGCAGGTTCAACTGTAGTTTCGTGAAGCCTGGCGTACACAACTCACCCTATGGGTACTCGTTGTGACTTGGGCGGTTCGTAAATCTCTGGTTTCCCGTACACCTGGATACGTACGCTGTCTGACCGAACGGGGCTGGCCAATGTCATGTGATCTGCTGTGCAGGTATACTCGCCGTCTTCAGCGTACGTCACGCTAATCAACTGGGAATGTCAAACAAGTGGATCGGTGTGGGGAGAGAGGGGGGGGGGGGTGGAAGAGGAAGGGAGAAAGGGGAGACATCAATTCAGTACTTGTTGACAGGAAAATGTTCTAGTCAATGAACTTGCAATTTAGATTATTATTACTTATCCACTGTCTTCCACTTCATTCGAAGGCAAACAATCAGGTGGTTTGGTCATCTGACACGTATTTCACCTCACCAGCTTGCCAGTAAACTGTCCTTGTGGTTTTATGCATCCCGCATAATTTAGCAAAATTTGATAATTTTTTGCATAATTTCTGATTTTTTTCCTTTATCATTCTTTGTTAAAATTAACAGAATCGCATAATTTCACATTTTTTGGCTCAGTTTGCATAATTTCAGAATTTTTCTCGCATAAAACGACGGGGACAGAGTAAAGCCTACTGCAGAAAAAATATCAGGATACAAGTACAAGGCAAGTGAAGACAAAGTAAGACCTGGATCGAGGGTGTTAAGGATACCCTGAAATCATACAACATTCCACCCGGCCAGGCCATCAAACTTGCTAAAGACAAAAAGCTCTTTCTCCCTTCGACGCCCTTGGGGTACAAGAGGACGGATAAAGTAAAGTTTTACTCTTAAGGGACAGACTGCTTGTCAGGGTCAACCCAGGCTAAGTGGGATACAGCATCAAGGAAAAAGAAGCCAGAGAGAGAGAGAGAGAGAGAGAGAGAGAGAGAGAGAGAGAGAAAGAGAGAGAGAGAGAGAGAGAGAGAGAGAGAGAGAGAGGGGGGGGGAGAGAAACCCCATCCCCCATCCCCAAACCGGGACATTAACCCTTCGAGATTAGTCTGCATAATGTGTCTTACTCAATAAAATAACCTTCCAACGTAAGAATTGAGTTCATGTCTATTGCGTGCAACAACAAAGAGCTTTATTGCAATAACCCATATGCCAGTCAAATGACCGATGAAGGAAAGGAAGACAAAGACAGACAAACACAAGATCATTCATAGAAATAGGCATGCTGAATCCTGAATGAACATATGTAAACTGAGAGGAAATGGAATTTGATGGACAAACAGACATTCTAACTAAACACAAAATGATAAACAAACATTCAAACAGAGAGACAGGATATTAATAGCAATAATAGACTGACTGTTAGCAGATGACAGACGGATAAGGTAGATATAATATGGATGGATAGATTGATGGCTGAGTGCCAAACACCCTCCAGCAGCCGGGTAAACGGAGGAAAATAAGGTAAAATTACCTTTCCTGAGAATACAACCTCATATCCAACACAGACGGAACTCGAACTCACAACTTTTTTATTAAGAGCCCAACGCCTTCTCGACAACAACAGTTGATCAATAAAAAATAATTATATTTTACACAAAGGGAGAAATAACACATTAGAAACGAAAAAGAAAAAAGAAAAACCCACGACAGGAGGGCTACTTTATACAAAAGATCCTATACTACCTATAGGATTAGGATCTTCGCTTGATGTTAATATTATACTGGTACAGTCCAGCTTACTCTTACGGCCACCTGTATCTGACAATCACCCGTACAAACAGTCACTTCCTATTTCTTCGAGTATTTTTTTTTTCATAATTATTATAATGACGCTGTGTGAGACGGTCACCTGTCTGATAAGGCCTCTTTCGACTGTTTATATCTTGCCCAAAATGATAACGATTTTTTAAACTTTCGTGGATAGGCTCTCATTTTAACTTTTTTTTTTCTTGAGTGAGCTGATCTTGTTAGCACGGATGTTTGGCGAATCTGACCAAGACACACAAAATCGGGTTTCATTGTAGATAATAGGGGCCTATCGTTCTCTCATTTAATACAACGTTAACTTTCTCATTGTAGAGAACAGGTCTTTTACTTTGAGACCTTGACTTTAGACTACAATCTGTCTAATAAAACGTTCTTAGCATTCCTTCAGGGTTTTGTGTTTGTGTGTGTGTGTGTGCGTTTGTGTGTGTGTGTGTGTGAGAGAGAGAGAGAGAGAGAGAGAGAGAGAGAGAGAGAGAGAGAGAGAGAGGGAGAGACCCTATCCCCCATCCCCAAACCGGGGCATTAACACTTCGAGATTAGTCTGCATAATGTGTCTTACCCGCAGCATACTAAGATCAGAGAACGCCGTGGTGAACTTGACCTTACTGGAGCTGGAAAGAGTCCGATTGTTTCTCTGCCACGTGACTGTGGCCGGCGGTTGTGCTGGGAACGAGCATTCCAAGATGGCGGTACCCCCGAGGAACACGGTCTGGTCAGCTGCCCGTAAAGAGATGGAGTCGGACGCGTATGCCTGGAGCAAGCGCGCTTCTTTCTCAGCCAGATTGTTTGTCTGCGTCGTGGCTGTAACTTTGCATGTGTACACCCCGAGATCAGAATCTTTGACCTGAAATTGAGTCGGGTTTTTTTCATTTTGTTGTTGTTGTTATTGTTGTTGTTGTTATTGTTGTTGTTGTTGTGGTTGTTGTTGTTGTGGTTGTTGTTGTTGTTTTTGTCGTTGTGTGTGTGAGTGGTAGCCTATCCGTTCGAAATGTTGGGAGCCCGGAAGAGCGTGCTCTTCGCCAGGGCCATCGCCTCCCCTGGGTAGCGGGTGAGGCAGTCCAACCTCCCTGAATCCTCCTCGAAGAGATGCCACCGCCGGTGTTGTTGTTGCTGCTGTTGTTGTTTGTTTGTTTTGTTGTTGTCGTTTTTTACCAGACTGTGAGCACATGCAACAGAATACTGTACACCAGGGGGTTTTCTCACCCCCCCCCCCCCAATCTTTTGCCCATTACGTTTCACGCAAACGTTTTGAATTAGCGATCTGAGTCGCCCAGTGTCATGTGTCCCTATGAAATAGCGACCCTCTTAAATTAACATTTATTTCGTGAAAGACTTGAATTCCCAAATTTCTATTAAAAAACATGAAAATAAGAAATTCAAGGTGTGCACACACAAAAAAGACAAGCAAATTAAACAAAAACAAACAACAAAAAAGCGCAAAAAGAAAAGAGACACAAAAAACAACCTGGTATACAGTTCTTCAAGCTCAGCCTAGATCGACCGCATCGATGACGACAATGGTGACACGTTGATGACACAATCAAAAGAGGTTGACATAAGTCAATAAAATAATATATTGGCAAAAATTAAACTTATGCGAATAATTTGGACTCCCTGATGAAAAGATACACGATTAGAGCTTTGTCACCTATTGTCGGCCTGATTTAAGAAACTGAAAAGCTTTATAACAAGTTGAACGAACATGATATCAGTATATCGGTAATATTCTTCATGAGAGTCTTTTACTTTTAATCTAAATTGTCCACAAATTGAATGTAATTAATAATTGTCTTGATGGGGCGTGTTTTGTTTAGTTTGTTCGTTCGTTTGTTTGTTTGTAAACTTGTTTGTTTGTAGGGGTGGGAAGGTGGGGGTGCCTTTTTTACAAGCACTTCTGTCATAGTTTGATTTGAAAGTGTAGCCATTACCATTATACTGCATGTATTCCTACAAGAGAAGACACTGCCAGCGAGCATTCCCCGTCCTTTGAACCACAATCTGCAGGTGTCTTATAGGCCTACGATTCCTTCTCAAGACTATAATGCTGTTTGAAAGTACGATTTAGACCAGGCATGCAGCTTGGCAAATGACGTTAGTAAATGCATAACAATTTTATTTCAAACGCGCCACATTTTTTAAGTTCAAAACAAAGAGGTTATAAATAGTATAAATTCTTACACATACACACATACACACACACACACACACACACA